GTCTTGATGCTGCTAGTGACAGGGAGTACATCAGTATAATAGTGCGGCAAAGGAGCGACAGTCGTGGACCGTGCATCCCCAGATTCTCCCACAACGAATATGCTCCGATTTACTCCTTCATCAGTGCAAGGAGGATGTTGTACGAGGGAGATAGCGGCACCTTGGAAGGAGTCTTTTGATGTTGTTGCACTAGGATTGTGATCTGTGTTATCTACAGCGGCAATTGTATACTCTTCGCCACGCACTTTTGGAGGTCAGACCACTTGTTCTCTGTAAAATTGTTGACAGACATGGTTGCCCATCTCTGCTGAGAGCAGGAGCACTCTATCATAAGAGATACTCAGGCCAAGGTGTGACAGTCTGTCGACCAGTTCCTTCTTATGTGTATGAACATGCAACATCATCCCAATGTATGTTGGAAGTGGGGTCTCTTGTGCAACACTGTGCCTGACACAGGTGGATGATGTGGTGCCACGTGTTCGCTTGTGTTTTACACAGTTGAACTTCTGTATCTAGGCTGCGGTAATTGCTGCTGGGTTAGTGTCTGCAATCTGGTCCTTGATGCTGGGTATCTCTAGGATCATGCTGACTAAGGCAAGCAGCAACGGTTGTAACAGATTTTTCTTGGCATCCTCCAGGGCACACTGTGAAGGGCTTGGCTTCTCCAAACATGTGACGGCGACAAGATAACGACTAATGTAGATCGAGAAGCAGCCATTTAATGTAAAGCAGCCATTTTGAAATCCAATATGGCGACCCATTAGTACAAATACGCAATGCAGATTGTTACCATTGGCTTGCTTGACCAAAAAAAACATACATTTAGACACCAAAATAAAGTCAATAGCAGCATTAGACCCAGAGATAATCACAAATGTAGATTTCAAATGGCGGCCATTTTGAAATCCAATATGGCGACCCTTTAGTAAAAATACGCAATGCAGATTGCTACCATTGGATTTCTTGACCCCAAAAACATATATTTAGACACCAAAATGAAGTGAATAGCAGCATTTGACCCAGAGATAATCGCAAATGTAGATTTCAAATGGCGGCCATTTTGAAATCCAATATGGCGGCCATAAAGAGAGAAATCCGAGTGGCCCAATATCTGAAAATGATTTCAATATGTAAATGTACATTTGTGCCAAGTTTGGTGCTTGTATCATAAAATGCACAATAGGTTTGCTAAGCGGCCCCACTAGTACAGGTTTTTCATTTTCCAAATGTGTACTTCAAGTGACTATAGAAAAAAAAATTTGTAAGAACTAAAAAAATATGTGACTGAAGTGAAACAGTTTTCATACTCATCAAATCAACAACAGCAGATACCGAATGGCCATGACACCCTCAGCCCCCAACACACACACACACACACACATGACATACTTGCTGTCCACAGAACGTCCTGGAGAGTTGGACGCATGTGGGGATTTTTTAAGCTTCATGAGGTTCATCTTTGTCTCAATCGTCATTGTAAAGCCTCCAGAGTAGGTAATATCCAGGTCGACCCAGAAGCCTTTCTCGTCCATGTATGGACGGCCGGCGTGACGGATGGCAGGAATCTCGTAGCCCATGTGAATATCTGTGACCTGCAGTTCCTCTATGAAATATGGCACCTGAGGAATGGACAGGGAAAAAACTTGTAAAATTATTCCACAGCTTCTTGTTTTGAACCCATATATGACTGTCTTCTATACAATTTCTCACTAGAAAAAGAAGACAATATGAAACCAAAAAAAAAAAAAAAGAATAAAGCTAAAATACTAAGAGGCAAAAGGCTTCAGTAAGCCTTCCATCCTCCTCAAATAGAAACTGAGAAACTGATCTCTCAGTATCCAGTTGGACAGGAATAGCTGCAGCCTGTAAGGAGCACAGAGTGATCTTATGACAGGAAATTTTACACCTTAACCATCTGATTATAAAAAGAATTTTCCTATAGTTCACTAAGCAGAAGAAATTTTCAGTTACCATACAATGTAAGTAAAACTGAACTCTACAGATTATCTCCAGTATCAATTTGATAACAACTCTTCTGCCGCAACAAGAAAATGAATGGAACTTGATTTCCTCGACAGTTCAATAAATAAGAGACAAAACTTATTTCTAAAAATCATACATGAATTTTGTTGAGTTTCCGCTGCAACTTTTCAGTGACTTTGCCAATCCACCACTTGTCTCTGAGAAAATCGAAGAAGCATCTGCCAATCAGGGCGTTGACCCAAAAGAGCTGGCTATCACAGACGATAGACCCATTCTGAGATATGGGAATAGCTTCTTCCTCATCTTTACTAGCTGGCTGGCTCTTCGCCCCGTCTTTCCCTTCTTTGGAGCTGCCAATATCTTTAACTGGTGCTGTGTGAGTGGGGCTGGACAGTCTGGAGGAGAGGCCAGCTGGCATCAGCCGACCCATGTAGTGGGCAAAGGTCAGTAGACTCACACCTTGCTGTAGACAGAAGTTTCAGCTCCGATCAGACAAAAGCAAATCTACATTAACCTTTCCAGCAAGGCTTTTTTCTTTCTAAAACTGTAAGTCCAGGAAATGAGTAATTAAAAAGAAATGAGCTCTCCTCTTCACAACCAGTCTCTATTGCTTTCAGACAGAAGACAACACCCCATTTTAAAACTATGACAAAACCATATATTCTCAACCCGCAGCCCTTAAAAGCAACTAAATCTGTTTCCAACCAGAATCCCATTATCTTCATTCCACTTTTAATAGGTAAATGACATGAAACGAAATCGACACAGAGATGTCCCACAACAAAGTTATCTGCCAAGTTTGAAATAAACACTTGTAATTTGTAAAATCCTAACGAGACACACAAACCATGAGCCACAACAACAACTACAAAATTTAACTTTTGAAAATAACTCCTTTAAGGAAAGTCCCGATTCCGCTCAAAACTATGAATTTAAAGTTTTAGGCCTTTTTAGCTTCTTCAACCTCTCTTACAACTATTTCATCGCATAAGAACCCCCTAAAGCCTTATTTCTTCCTATATCGGGCATGTTTGTCACCACCATTTCCTCATAAAGCCAATCTTTTATTTTTCTTTATCGCCCGTTTTCTCGAAACAGTTTTTCTATATACTTTTAAAAATAACTCCACCATTTTTCATCCAATCTTCATGAAATCTTCACAGAATGAAGAAAAGTAATATAAAAAATTTGTGCGATTGATTTTTGATATAAGGAATAGTTTTTTGTTGCTGGTGTTTGGAGTGTGGATTTTCACAGATTTTTTTGCAAACGTGAATTCTACCTCAGGTAAAAAAATCATTAAAAATGTTCTTGAAAGTTTAAGAAAAATTTATGACACAGATTTGTAGATCTATTTTTTGCCAAAATGCATGCAAAAACCCCAATTTATTTCCATGAAAAATAAGTGCGGTATTAATTACGTAAGTCATGTCAATAAAATCCAATATGGCCGTCATATCCATGGAAATAAATTTTTTTTTCTCAAATTTGATTGCGGATTCTCAGACTTTTTACTATGCTTGGTTATATGTGAGAAATATCGTAACATTTGATCCATTAATCAGCGAGATAGTCTTCAGCTGCCCCCCCCCCAAAAAAAATCTTCCATCAGATTATTTCCAAAATCATGCAATGAAATGATGAAAACTGACATTACCCTTTTTAAAACAATCTAATACATTACCATCTATTAAAAAATGTCTTACACTATCTTCTTTTGTCCCGTTCACCTCCGGCGCAATGTCCGGTAGACTGGATGCTGAGGTGATGGAGTCTGTGGAGCCCTCTCGCTTGTGACGTGGGGTGACCTCTGAGCTCTTCTTAGGAGGAGGACTGGAGTTACTGCCAACTGCCCTTTTCATGTCCATCACATGGTTGCCTCAAGAGCATATAGACAAAAGTCATATTTGAAATAAAATGTTATCATACTGCTATACAGAGAAAACATAACTTTTATTGGTGAAACGCTCTCTGAAAATAATCAATGCAGCAAAATTCATCCACGAACTCATTTGTGACAGCCTATCAACATAATAATTATGCTCTACCAATATTTCCAGTTACAAAGCCTTTGACAAGAACAAATTTCCTATCCTTTCCAAAATAAATGACTTCTTTGAACACCAGTGAAGAACAGTCTACACATACATGCTCAACAATTGATCAACTTGTTAAATCAACATTGTCAGTTTCTATGACATCATCACTTGCAAAAGTCACAGCAATGGCACAGATTCAATATTGACTTTGAGACTGTTCTAGAGGTATCTTTTACGAATAATCTATGGTCTCATTTATGACTTTATATAGATCTTTCTGGGAAAAATTGGGACATTTTTGCAAAGATTTCACCCTCCTGTATTTTGGCCAAAGGAATATATGAAGCTGTGATGTAGATGCTAAACTAAACAATGAATCATGAGAGGCTTTCATGGTCTGGAGATACAGCGTTTGCTTCTAATTCAGTAAGTCCTGGGTCTAAAGCTTGGCAGTGATGGAAAAATGTTCTCCTTTCCTCTTCACTAGACATGCTCTTCATTAGATATGTTCTATCTGCTTTCATCTCGACTTTCCCTGAACAAAAGAATAAAGAAAAAGAGATAGGGAAAGGGAAAAACAGTTTCAAAGAAAGGAAAGATGGAAAGAGAAAATTTCTAGATTTCAGAGACAGAAAAGAAGAAGCAGAAGCATAAAAATGTCTGAAGTAAAACAGGAGAGTAAAGAGACTCACCTAATGGAATTCCAGCAGCAGCGGCGGAGAATCGTTTAAACCATTCCTCTTTCTCTCGTCCAGTGCGAGCAAACAGGTACAGCACGTTACTATCACATTTTTCTTCCGTGATTATTTCGAAACCCATATCAGACACTTTCTCCTTCTTTGCTCCGATGATTGGTTCAGACAAAATGTGTTTCAGTTTTGATGTTGCTGCATCCTCCCCGTTACTACTAACGCCGCCCTTGGCAGATGTTAAAGAGATACATATCGGGTACTTCTTGCTCCAGATTCTTTTCTTCACAAGCCCTTGAGGTAAAAGATAGACGCTTGAGCCTGGAAGATCGAAATGCCGCTGGTGGATAAACTGTGGCTTTGGAAAGCTTTCGTCCCACATTGCCCTCTTGGGAACAGGGTTTTTGGGCCGCTGCAGTCGCAAGTGTGTGCCTTCGAGACTGATGAAGACACAGTGAGTCTTGTTTATGTGGTAGTTTTCAACAGTGTAGTCAGTCAGCTCATTCATCCACCCCTAAAAAAGGAGGAAAAGAAATGGAATTAACTCCAGTTTATTTTTCATGTGATTCAAAATTTGAAACGAGTACTCTTTAGAAATGTGTACCCTCAGAAGCAGTTACTGTAACCATCTTTACATTATACACCTGCACAAAAAATCAAACCACTGATTTTTTTTTTTTAAGGAAATGATTAACTTTTACTCATCAAATACTGACCATTCACTGCAACAGAACTTTGATTGAGTTTACATTCACGTTTTGTGGTTACACAAAGTCTATCTGCAGCTAACTGGACCACCAGTACTCTGTTTAAATTTAAACCACTGAGCAGCTTAGAAAGTGATTGACTTTCAGAAGTGTCTCATATCCCATAAAAAGCAATTGGAAAAAAAATATGCACAAGTTAAATTTATAACTTTTAAACACTGCCCCCACCCCCCCACCCAAGACGAAAGCCATAAATGTTCTTCTTTTAAACTGAACAGACATAAGCCCCTACTTAACACATTTTTTCAACAGTATACAACAGAAAGATAAAGTACATTTACAATTTGTTTCTTGCTGTCACTGACATACCAGAACTCTAGGCTGAAGAAACATGGCTTTTAAAATCTTTACTTGCCACAAACGATGGTGTTAAAACTGTATTCTTCTTTTAACAATGTACCCAACCTACGACATGATAAAATTGCCCTAATATCTATTAGACTGACGCTTGAAACATTTATCAGAGGTTGTGCTTTTACATGGCAGTATGAGATTCATGCCAGCAGTTATCTGTCAACATGTTACACTGAGCCTACCTTATGGCGACACTCCTCTCCTTCCAACCCAACCTTCATCTCAGGCACTGGTGGTGGGGGTAGATCCTCAACAGGAGGCAGAGTAAAAGGCTCAGAGGGAGGCGGAGGTTCCATCAGCCACAAGTAGAAACCACAGCTGGCAGTGGCGAGCAGGGACCCCATGATAAATCCCGACATGTATGAAGGCAACGGCAGGATAAGGTAAGCAAACACGAAAAGGGAAATGACTATGAGCTTTTGAACAGGAACCGGACGATTGTCTGCAAAACTGAGCTGGCGTAGGATGGCATTGGCAGTAGAGTCAGAGAAAGGGGAAGAAGGCACTTCGCTCTTCTCTGGGGCTGCCCCCTGAGAAGCAGTGTTGTCAGCTTGGCTATCATCTGACGTCGGTTTCCTAAATAAAGGCTTGGCCAAATCTTCATCTGGTGTGAAGTGCAAGGCAGACATGTGAGCCACAGCAGATGTCATGGGCTCCTTTTTCTTCATGAAGCGTTTGATTTTCGAGCGAGATTTGAGCTGAGTGGAGGTGCTGAGACCAGGCATGCCTGTGAAGTCCTCTGTTGGCTCACTGATGAAATGCTCTTCAAACATAAGCATCTCAGAGTCAGGAGTACCACGTCCTTCAGGTTCATGAAACACCAGAGTGTCATCCTCAGTACTTGGCTCTTTCTGAAGAGACGCACTGATGACATCCTCTATGACATCTTCAAAGTCATCCTCCACTTCCAAGTGAGCCAAGGGGTGGTCCTCTACAATACCTGAGGACCTGAACAAAGTCACATTTTCTTTCACCACAGGCTCTCGCTCTGATGGCTTTTCAACAGGCAGCAACTTTTGTTTCTCTTTTTCAGGACTTGGGCTTGAGCTGGAATCACCAGAGAATTCCTCAATTGTTCTAGAAATTTTGTCTGTAATTTTACCTTTAAGACCCGAGAATATTTCTTTTGAGGTTTCAAGTTTTGCCTTGGCTCGCTCTCTTATTGGGGAATTGTGAGCAGCAACATCCACTGGGAGAGATATTGCTGGTTTTAGGGGGGGTTTATCCATGGGAAAAGATCCTGTTGATAGTAATGGGGGCCTCACTCCAACACCATCCACTGATGATGAGCCTCCAGAGACAACTTTCTCCGGCTGTTGTTCTAGGGACCTGAGCTCTGCTGGAGCAGAGGAGGTGGACGAGACAGACGATGAAGAAAATGTTCTCTCACTGCTCGGCTTCTGTTTCTGCACTCGGTGAGATTCTTCAACTAACTTGTCGTACTTGCCAGTGAAAGCTGTAAGATCCTCATCATCCTCATCCTCCTCCAGCTGTTTGAAACTAAAGCCTGACAGACTGACACTACCCTTGCCCTGCCCCTGCTTCGGTGGCGGGGGCCGGGAGGGCTTGCCCAGACCTTTCTTGAAGCTCATCGCCACACTGAAGAGATAGATTGAGGTAAAACTAGTCAAACAATTCAATTCAGAAACAGGCCAATACAATTTTATCAATAAATTATAAAATACTCTATAAGAGCACTGCTTCATTATTATAATGCTACACAAATCCAAGCAACCTGAACTAGACAGATAGACTTGCCTATATCAGTACTTGACTGCATCAGGGTTGCCCACCCACCAGTATGTTTAAGTAATCAACAAATTTTAAAAAATAGTAATCTGGCTTACAACTTCGTAATATGGCAATGGATAGTCTTCTGCCCTTGGGTGTCAAGGACAGGGATTGTAGCCAAGAATGTTACAGGCGTGATGTAAAAAAAGAAGTTATGGGAGGCTGATCAACAAAAAGAAACCTTTGAAACTACAAAATACATCAAATTCCCTTGATACTGATTTTGCATCACAACACACCATGCCACTCACCCACCGTAGCTAACTGTTTTGAGTTTCATATAATGAGCCATTAATCTCATTGGCCCAGGCTGTCACCCACAACACAAAAAAGCAAGGATTTTCTAACATCTTGGTCATCCTAATGTTTGCCTTAGTCCTGGCTTTGGCTAGGGTCTAGAATGTTTTTCAAAGGGCAAAAATGGCACTGAGTGACAACAAGAGCTTGACACAAAGAGGGTGTTTTTACAGCTGCATGTGATTATGTAATGCTGTAGACTCTCCTGGTCTGGTAGATCCACCTATGCACAAGGAAGATTGACAATGGGTTGGGGTAGCCGAAATATTTAAAAAAAATCAGAATCAGGGGTGTACTGTAACAACAATTGTGCTTTAGAAAAACCGAACAAAACTCTTAATGACTCTGCCAAATTCGTAATGGTGGGGAATGGTATACTGCATCTATTCTTAAAATTTCTAGATTAACGAGATATAATCAATAAATGGCTTAAACTGTATTTTAAGTGTTTGTTTTGCATGATTCTCCATTTCTTTAAAATGTACTAGAAAGATAGTGTGTTTGTAGCACAGCCGCCCATCATTTAATACTTTAATTGGAGCACCAACTCTTTTGATACTTAATCAAAATTTAAGAGCATCAGAGAATGTGTTTCTTGGAAATCTTTTTCAACTTCAAAACAAAACTGAACTGAAAAAAAACCCCAACCCAACAAATCTCTTACAAGTTCCAGTACAAAGAATGAGCAATTTAATGGCAATCTTCCAGATCTGCTTCATTTTTATTCACATTTACTGGATTTAAGTAATTATAAGGTAAAGGTTATGGTGACGGTAGGATTACAGTATGGGTTGGCCAAGGGTAGGTGTAAGGCCAGGCTACCCTGTCCCTACCCTTTTCTCTACCCTTTACCCTAATCCTCACTTCTCTTCATCTTATAACCCTCCCCCCCTCCGAACAATTCAGCAAATTTAACAGTCATGAATCATAATCTTGACCATTATACCAATATCAGATTGCATTTACATAACTGTGAGTAAAATAAACTTGCATTCTTTGTATGTTTAATTTTCTAGACCTTCTATTCTATTAGAGCGTAAACACGGCGTCACGGGCACTCGCAGCCTTCTGAGCCTGTGGTTTCGGTAAAATCAAGGTAATTCAGATCACTGTTACTTCGCTCTTTCGCTATCAAATACCAAAAGCTGTGCACCTTGTAAAAGTTCAGCTTTCCCTCGTTACAATGGTGTAAGTTGATAATGTCCCATTATTAGGCCAGTTCAAAAATTGACATGCGAGCATTCAAATATGCTTTGCGGAAAGATTGATGATTAAATGCCGTCTTTTCATTGGCGGAGAACTGTAGAGCTATGAAAGGGCTTTCCCCTGATATATTTTTCGCTTTGACGTATAAATAGAAAGCCTTTAAAAATACCTTCCAAGTTTTCAAAGATCATTTTTTCAACAGAAATATGTAAAATACCAATTCAAAAAAGGTATCACTAGAAGGATCAATTAATTTTCTATTAGAATAAAGTAATCAGCTTGGAATTATTTTGCATCATTCCTTCCGCGAAGCTCGACGTGGGGAGCACTTTGCACACTACAGTATAGAACCGAATCGCTCGTCGTGGGGACCGGTGTACCGCTGTGTTTTCATGGAAATAACGACAGACCATCATGTTTGAGGCGATTAAATACTGATGTGCAATGATCTCACAGTCTTGAAAACAAATTAGGCTCCATATCTATGTTAAAATAATTGTACTCTGTTAAGGTGGAGATGTTTGGTGTGCTTAGTACTCTTTTATTGACTGTCAAACATGGGGTAGCAGCCAGTTAGCGACTGTAAGCAAATTGGATCATATTTTAAAAGTTACCACTTAAAAATTGACTGAGAGGTTAAAGAATGGTATCAACATTCTTAGTCATTATGATAGGCCTTTCATATGGAACAGATATATTTGGCATACAGTTTTTGAAAATTTAGTTTCTAGTACCTAACCCTAGAAATGCTCAGCATTTGACCGAAAGTAACCCGCCAAAAATGCTCCGCCGCCACGGCCGATCAGTTGTATTGTTGTAAACATAGGGGTTTGGCAGGGAGAATCAGGTAAGATACCCGAGATGTATACCTGGTACTGAAAAATGACCATTTACGGCTCAACAGATGATAAAAGGCATGATAAAAATGACAGGCGATCAAATAAATACAAACAAAGCGCAAAACGCAATAAACTCAACAATTAGTACATCAGCACGGCGCAACAAGTGATAACACATAGCATGTAGTCGCTCAGCTGGACCGTGTCACTTCATCGATCGATATCTTGGCCAAGAGATGCTCTACGAGGTCAAGATAACTTGCATAGTCATTGGTCACTATTTATAACTTTGACCTGTAATTTACTACGTCATTTTCTTTAATCATAGCTGCCACTCGGGAATTTTAAAAAAGGAGGAAATTCATGTGAAGGCGTATGCGCGCTCTCCAAAGGCCGGAGTAAAACCAGTGAGATCCAGAGGCAATATATATTGGAACATCTAGCCTACGTTTTTGGAAGGGAAAATTGTCATATTTGTTAACCATAAAAAGCTACTGAATTAAAATGTATTTGAAAAAAAAAACAACCCAAAACACGAAGTTGACTAACAAGCATTTGGCACAAATTAGTGACTAAAAATTAGGCCTACGCGCTTCCCGGTCGAAGTAGGTGAGCCCTATAAAGGGCCTGCGCGCTTCCCGGGTAGCCCGGCTACGACCTTTTTTAAATAGGGCCTGCACGTTTCCAGGGTTAATTCTACCTGTCTACACCAACTAATGTTGACTTTGTTTCCATTTATTAATATCATAGCTACAAGTCAAAAGTAGAACAATTACAGACTATGCAAGGTTGCAAGTGATCATCAGATCAAATGATAAATCATTGTAAATGTACACACATGGGTTACTTGTCGCAATTTTGGCATTAAATTAGTTAGAATCGTTCTGTTCTTTCATTTTTAGGAACAGGAAGGCAAAGAAATTTAATGGGAATCTAAATCAGGAAGGAAGTGGCTATTCTCACCCTGGGTGAGAATAAAAATACGATCGACCTCTCATCCCTGGTGAGACTTGCCAGTGTTGGCTATTCGCATCCAGTGTGAAACAAGACCTGTTTTTCCTAATTTCTGAATACTGTCTATCGGTGTGGATGATGAAATTGAAAAAAAGAAAGAAAAAAATGATGTTATGTTTCAACAGTAAGTTTATTAAATTGGTCCTCTACAAAGATGTTATGTACAGCTATTTCACTTATTAAATTCGAATCGAGCTGAACTACGCGTGTCGCCATTTAATTATGCCCGGAAGTTCTCGCTAGGCCTACTCCTTCTCTCTCACTCTCTCTTTCTGAATTACACATTGTCTATTGGTGTGGACGATCAAATTGACAAAGAGACAAAGAAAAAAATGTTATAGTATAGCAAGCACAATAAAAGTAAATTAGTTAGGTCATCTACAAACACGCTACGGCTATTTCACTTTTCGAATAGAGCCAAACTACACAGGTTGCCATTTTTTTGCAACGAAGTTCTCGCCGTCCCTCTTCTCTCTCTCACTGCCGGCAGACAAAATTGCATGCTTTCAACACAAGAGCGCTGGAACGTTTGTTTACGGTGAATGCTACACTGGTTGGCCAATCACGGTGAACGCACACCCTGTGAGAATAGCCAAAAGGCTCGCCTGCACTATTCTCACCAATAGAGTGGCCAATCAGGAATTATGTCATAATATAATCCTCTTTGCAGGCATTTACACCCTGTACTATTACATGAATTGGGAACAGAGGTATCAATGGTCGCTTTTGGAACAGCTCTGGCACTGTCAGAAGTGAAAATGGGAAGATTGAAGAATACTGGACCACTCGTACATTATTGCGCGGCCACCTCTATTCTCACCCGGAGTGAGAATAGTGCAGGCGAGTCTTGTGGCTATTCTCACCCGGTGCGCGTTCACCAAATTTTGCATTCACCCTAAACCACAGAATTCTACACTGTGATAACAGAAAAATTGTAGAATTCTGTGCCGTGAACAAACGTTCCATTACAACTGTAGCCTACTAAATGCGTACAATTTTGTCTGTGGGCAGTGGAGAGAGAGAGAGAAAGAGAGAGAGGAGTAGCGCGAGAATTTCCGGGCAAAACAAAATGGCGACCCGCGTAGTTCGGCTCGATTCGAAAAGTTAAATAGCCGTAGCATCTTTGTAGACAACCAAATTAATTTACTTTTGTGTTTTAACATCATTTTTTAACTTTGTTTTGGTCAATTTGATCGTCCACACCGATAGACAGTATTCAGATAGAGACAGAGAGAGAGAGAAGAGGGGAGGAGTTGATCTTGCGAGAAATTCTGGGCGGGTGAGAATAGCCACTTTCTTATATTGCGCGAGAAAGTGGGTTTGGTCAGGCGGGTGGTTGGGGTGGAGGAGGGGGGAGGGGGGGTTCAGGGGGGTCTCCCCCCTGACAAAATTTTAATGAATAGTTCTCCTGGTCCGAGATTCTCCATTGAGAGATATTAAAAACGGGAAAATTATGAATTCCTAAGGTTGAGACATAGGCAAAGTCAGTCCGCTGGTCCTGTATTCTTCAATCTTACCGTGAAAATAATTATCAATGGTATGCAAGTCATCTCTAGATCTAATTCTGTTACAAACAAAAGTTTCACTCATTGCCACTGTCTGCCAGCAGAGTCTGGAGTCTGGTATCATTGACAAACGCAGTAAAAAAAATCTGGCGAAAGCATTAAAAGCACAATGTATTATTAATTGTAATACATAACATAAAATACAAGAATATTACTTGTTACCACGGATCCGTTCTAAATTTACAAAGAAACTCAAATCACATTAACAGGATCAAGTGCGTCGGTGCTTCAGTCTTCAGCACATCGCCATTGAGACAGAGAAAACTGCTGGCTCTGAGAGTTGAGTTGATAGTTCAGACAACTTCCTGTTTTTGTTATAACGGGGTGAAGTTTGTTTTCATTACGTGTATGAAAGATAATTTGTACATTTAAAACATAATATGCCCTTGAAAATGTTGACATGTTTAATACCTTTGTTTTATTTGTACTTTGTTTTTAAAATGTTTTGATTTGATATTATATTTTGTAAAATCTTGTCAATTCTGACCAATACTATTTCAATGACAAATAATCACCGAAACTAACTTTACAATATGGCGTATATTTGTTGTTGTATGGGTGGAAACGCATGTAACAGATGAGATCGTTAAAGATTTTATTTAAATGAATAACAAGAACATCTTTCTATGTATATATTGGCGGGATGAAATATGGAAAGATGGCGTCAATGGCTCTCTTATTTTGTTTGGTGTTCTCTCTGATTTCTTCGTCTGAACCGGTAAGAGCCTTTTTCCCCTGCTCCTAACCTACTCTTCTCCTAATCATCCCTGAACTGGCTGAACTCTATGCCTATCCGGGAAGATTGAAGAATACCGGACCACTCGTACATTATTGCGCGAGAAAGTGGGGTAGGTGGGGCGGGTGGTTGGGGTGGAGGAGGGGGGTTCAGGGGGGTCTGCCCCCTGACAAAATTTTAATGAATAGATCTAGATCTAGATCTATCGGTCCGAGATTCTCCATTGAGAGATATTGAAAACGGGAAAATTATGAATTCCTAAGCCTAAGGCCTAAGGTTGAGACATAGGTAAAGTCAGTCCGCTGGTCCGGTATTCTTCAATCTTACCAGATCTAGATCTAGCCAAGTAGTCCAATTATTAGACTAGATCTACTCTAGATCTAGACGTTTAGATCTAATCTAGATTCTGGAATCTCTAGATTCTAGATCTAGATTAGATCTTTGTCTAAATGATGTAGATTCTAGAACTAGAGTTAGAGTCCAGTTTTAGACTGGATCTAGATCTAGATCTGGATAGATTCTAGACTGTGCTCCTTGTGATCACTAGATTAGATAGATTCTAGGTCTAGTAACTTGTCTGTTTAGTTTTAGACATATTATAGCAATGCCCACTGAGCGCGTTTTGTTCTGCCGATTTTTGGCCCCCACCACTGGGGTGTTTCGTGGAACGAACTAACGCAATGGTTGTTGTCTTCAACTCGCTCTCACGCCGCTCCTCGGGAATGGATATAAATAAAACTTGGCAGCCAATCAGAAAAGAGGTCAATCACGTAGTATGCAGATTGACAAGTTTGTACCCTTCCAAGAAGAAGTCGAAAACTTTTGCGAAAGTTGTTGATGTGGTGCTCTTTGAAGATTTTTCGGAGTTGTGATTTGTCAAACTGACTGATAAGTTTTACACCATTTTTCTTCTTTCCCTTAAAATTTCATGCTTCTGTGTTTAGCGGTTTTTGGGAAATCTATAAAAATGTGGGAGTAACTAAGGGAAAAGCGGCACTACCATTTGCGCGTGCTGGGTGAACGACCGGCAGCTGGGAAAATTCCACTGAGTGACGTCATCAGCCATCAGTCGCCTCGGGCGCTACAAACTAGGCCCCGCTTGTGAACCGGAAAGGTGGGGAAGGATGCTTGAAGACTAAACGGGGGCCTTGATAACTTGCATTTGTCACTTGTGTTGCATTTTAGTCACAACACAATAGATGTAGTCATTTTTATTTGCTTAATTGCATGAGAGAAGAATATAAAAACAGAAAAAAGCAAACTTTCTTGAGAAGTGGTGTGTGTATGGCTTTGTGTTTGCGTTATAATAGATGAAAGCCTATTCCCCCCTCTTGGAAAAACACACACTTGGACTCGTCCTGTTTGTTCTGTTTGGAAAAGTGAGGCATTGAGATTGTTATTAAAGAGTATGGCACACATATATAGTCCAGTCTGGGAAGATAGTCTCGTGTCGTTCACGCCTGCGGGCGTGAGTGCGTGTGCGTGCATGTGTGTGTGAGTGAGAGAGAGAGAGAGAGGGGGGGGGGATGGTCTAAATATCTGTTACATTTTATAGTATAAGTTGTAGCCTTAGACACATATGCGAAATATTCCCATGACTTGTAAACTATATAATTTATTCATTTATAACGGATCTTAGTCTACAACACTTGACAAAAGGACACTATATATATATTCAGAGACGATCTTATTTTCCATTACAAAGTGTGCATGCTTTTACTTGTAGAGAACTGGATTTGTTAGACTAATAAATAGAGCTCTTTGCTTACATTTTGCATTTTGGTGACAAATTGATCCCGAACATTGCTTGGCAAGGAGGAATCTTTTGTTGCCAAGTTTCATTGAGATTTCTTGACTTTGGGAAAAGATATATATATATGACTGATAATCTTTGTAAATCTGTAAAGAAGGCCACTTTTTTACCTGTAAATGTCTTTACAACTCAAAACGTATGATAGATATTACAGCATGACTAGATTATGCATTAAAAACTGTACTAGACTGCCAAGTTTCATTATACTCCAAGAAATAGGCGAGCTATGACAATATATTGTCTCAATACGCACCGAATACCACCACATTTTTACCTATAAAAACGTCTTCATAAGTCAAAAAGTAAGACAGCTATGAAAAATCTGAAAGCAGGACTAGATTTATGCACTAGATAATGTACTGGGTTGCCAAGTTTCATTTACATAATACTCCGAGAAATGAGCGAGTTATGACAAATATTGTCTCTAAACTCACCAAAGAAGGTCCTATATTAAATTTTTTTTTTTTTTCATATATAAAAGTGTTCCAAAAATTAATTGATTAAAAATTTCGTAACTTTTTTGTTTATAGTTGAATTTCTAAAATTCAAAAAGTTCCATGCTCTGTGAAGATACAGAACTACAAAATGCACCTATTTGCAAACACTTTCTGACAAATAAAGATTTTTATGATCATTGCTACATTTTAGTAGAAGAGTTTTACAGTACTTGCAACCGAATAAGGTCACAAGTTATAGTGCCGCGTGTAAGAAACAAGAAAAGAAAGAACCCCCCATTGTTGGTATGAGTATGATACACGGAGGTCCACCAAAGTTAAATCCCCTACCCACCCTCAACCACCACCTCTCGCTCTCCTCGCCTCGCCACTGGCTTGCGCTGTGCGCGAAGTCGCCTGTGAAACTACCTTTTGTCTGCACGTAGAGAACTATAAGTGAGTAGTTAGGCTTGGTACACGCGTAGTAATCACGGGCCCAGACTGGAGGTCAGGTAAAGTACAATCCAGCCAGAAATGAGAAAGGTTGATACTGATCATGTTTGGACAGGAACTGAAAGTGAAAAAAGGAGCAAACCACACCAGCAGAGCCTCCCACCAACTACCCATGACTTGTCTGTTGTCTACTGTAATGTTGACAAACGTTTAAAAGGGCCTTTAGGCCTAATAACATTTAACACAGGTTACAAGTGGCTACGTTCAATACGGTTCATGGCGCCGTGAACGTAGTCTGCAGGCGTGAATGTAGTTGGCAGGCTATGTTCACGGCACCCTGAATGCAGTTTGCAGGCGCGGTTGAGGCTATGCTCACGGCACTCAAGCTTCGTTTAGACGGAGCGTCCAGTGCCGGTTTAAGTAAGCCGATTTTAGTCAGTGATATATATTTAATATTTGGTGGCCTGCTTCGAATTCAAGCGTTCCATCCCATGAGATGAAGGAAAACGAAGCAGTGATCCTTGACCGATCGACCATTCATCTTTTTCCCTTACACTGAGCTCTGGCTCAGAGCTCATCTGTGTAAGGGAAAATGACAAACTCTTAATTATGGAACTATGTATTAGGGTATATATTGACTAAAATGTATACACGTGTACCAGGATGTTTCAATTGCTCTAAATCTATCTCGCGTGTGGGCGAGACTTGGGCGAGACTTGGGCGAGACTTGGGTGCAACCTTGTGTTAGCACGTGACAGCCCGTGATACGAGTGTAAACAAACGTTCCAGCGCCATCGAGCTGAAAGCGTGCAATTTTGTCTGCGGGCAGTGTGTGTGTGTGCGTGTGAGAGAGAGAGAAGGGGGGGGGGGAGGGAGGGAGAGACCGATAGACAGAGACAGAGAAAAAGAGAGAGAGAGAGGGGGTGGGAAGAAAGAGAGAAGGATAGAGAAAGGGGGAGAGACAGACAGAGAGAGAGAGAGAGGGTGTTTGATATTTAATATATTAATAATTGATTCCCGTCATTTTCTCTCTGCGTCGGTTCCCAGGCTGACCTGGTGCAATACAGTCATTATTATACACATTTTATGACCAGTCCCGTCTTCCGAATCCTACCTTCTGTTTCCCATCTCTCACCTCTCGTTTCCCATGTCCGTATCCAATTTTCCATATATATCCCATGTCCCGACTTTTGTTCAGTAAGGACCCTTCATTTTCCTTCATCTCATGAGATGGAACACTTGAAGCTGGCCAAAGTATTAAATCTATACGTCACTGTCGTCACTGACTAAAACAGGCTGACTTAAACTGGCAGTGGACGCTCCCCCTAAACAAAGCTTTAAATAGTGCCGTGAACGTAGCCTCAACAGTACCTGCAAACTGCCTTCAGGGCGCCGTGAATGTAGCCACTGCGTACATTTTAAACTGAAAGTTGTACCTCCCCTTTTTGTTGCGAGAAAATAGTACATGATGCAATCATGGCAAAAAACTGATCTCTTTGTGATCTTCAAAAGAGACACCACAGCCACAGTGAGTCACTGGTTTATGGATGCTGGTTCAGAATTTAATATTATTTCCAGATGCAGTTTTCAATAAGGCCGGCTCTATTCGGACTCGAGTTCGAATATGAGTATTATCTATTCGGACTCTTGTCCGAAAAAAATGTTTTCTGGACTCGGCTTCTAAATGAGTTGTAATACGAGTGTAAGGAGGTTACATAATATAACTGTCATCGGGGGATTTTACGTAGAACTAGAATTACCTACTAGGACTGTAATTGTGTCAAAAGTAAAAAGAAAACTTCACTCTCATTTCCCAACGGCAGTGTCTAAGTACACGGTAATCGACAATTCAGGGTCTTTCCACCACCATTACAGCATCATCATTACTTTCACCACCATTTGTCCTTCCACACTTTAATTTCATTTTGTTGTGTGTTATAGTTTTTCTGTAATTAATTATTTTTAAAAATCTCATCGCACAAAACCGACAGCCGTGGCCTCTTCCCAACACCTTTTCCCCCAGCGAGCCGAGAGTGTGTGATCGCTACGCACAGTCTCATTGGTCGACATAATTAACTTTGCCCCCCGGCAAGGTCAACTCAACTTGGTTGTTCTGTTCATACTAATGATGAGGGCAGGGCCGGTTTAGATAGATCTAGGAACTGGATATTAAAGCTCACGTCTCGATTGTTATCACATTATAGTTGAAAAAATTTTCATAAATGCAGGAAATATTTAGGAACAAGCGTTGGAAGTTGGAACGGATGTCATGCTGGACTCAATTTAGAGTCCGAATAAAACTTGTGTCTATTCGGACTCGACACTTCGTTTCAATAAATGAAAATTTTATCTTGGCAGTTTGAAGGCTTTGGCAGAAGCTTGCCAACTATAAAATTTTCATATTTTTACAAACCCAATTTTATAACAAGTAATATAATCAAAATTTTGTTAACTTTTTATCACGAGCAAGCTGCTCCCAGCGGCTCGCGGTCGGAACCCCTGTGCCAGTGAGCCGCTGACTTCAGCTCCGGTGCATTCCTTTATCATTTATGACAACTTCGACATCAAATTACTTTTCGGCAGCTGCTGAAAACAGGTCACTTTTATGAAGATTTCATTCATTTGATTTAATCACCAATTTTGTGACGATTTTGTCCTTTTTATATTTAGTATGAAAAACGGGCCCCGGCATACTGGGTTACCCCCCCCCTCAGAGATAAAGAGTTAATGAATTCGGGAGACTCTTTTTGTTGCAACAAGATTTTGAAGATCGCAAAAAAAAAAAGAGTTTTTACACTATTGGATCGGGACGGACAACTGTCTAGTTTTAACAGTATATGTTGTAATTCCCCCTTAAAGTTCAAATTAAAATGAATAGATTGAATAAATAGGCCTAATTTGAAAAGTAGCGAGTTTATACATAAAGTAAGGGAAGAATTTGATTTGGAGTTGAATAATTGAATGTCCTAAATTTTTGGTTTTAAGTTTTTGTGATTTATAGTCAACTTATTGTTTCATCCAACATACGTCAAATAAATCTATTTATGTATTGTCAGTCTCCTAGGGGATTGCCATGTTATTTTTTTTGACAGCACTTTTTACTGAAGTGCTGCTGTCACTCAATATGAACATATAACAATCATACAAGGTAGTGAATCAGTATTAAGTTACTTTTGTTCCCGTCTTGCACATTTTATCTTAAAGTTGTAATTTTAGTTTCAAATTGTGAAGCAAAATGAAATTTTTTTTTGCGACTGGTTTAATTGATTTTATACCTGCTTAATTTTTGTAACCTTTTCGACATGAAAATTAAAAAAAATAATGATGAAAATAACTTTTACAAAGAACTTCAAGCCCAGACAAAATATGGACCAAACTCCTTGTAGCCAGTCATTTGTGTTTTCAAGTTCTGTTTATTCCACTATGTAGGTTAACCTTATCCGTAGGCCCTGGGGTCATTTTGTACCCCCGGGGTTGTATTTTTCACATTTTAGAATACTTCTAGTACGAAGATATCTTTGAAACTTTCAGTATTTCTCAAAAAATCATTTTGACAGCCTGATATGCAAAGTGTATGGATCGGATTAACGAGTAAATTTCCTCTTTGGAAAGTGGTGGCTCAGAGTTCCCCGGGTTGTATGGATACAATAGTAAAACACGACGTACGGATAGGGTTAATGAAAATAGTGATATAATGTTCCTATTGATCCCTTGGATGATTAGTATCAAAAGAAAGTAGGAAATGAAGACTGTGATTCCGCCAGCTTTTTAAAGACAATCATAATGATTTAATGTTTTGACTATGTGATCGAACCAGTCAAAAACCATGTAGCCTTTTATGATTTGACCCCTTAGCAGAACTGACATGATATGTGCCAAAAAAAAACCCAGTACAGTATTTGTAAAACTGCATTAGTGGTTAGCTTTAGTTGTTAGCTTTTGTTGTATGCTAATCCATGCCACATATTTCATCGCCCCCAAGATCTACACCTGGTCCTGTGCTACATTTGCAGCCTATTTTCACCCATATTGTGGTTCTCTATTTAAAACTACGTTGAATAGTTTGAGTGCTCATTCAGACAAATCATAAATCCATCAATATTTCACTGAATTATTAGAGCCATTTTGGGGTGTAACACCCTTTTAGCCTGGGTGCATAAATCCCTTGTGTACTGAAAGAGTTTGAAGTTTAAAGAGGGCCTCTGCGCATGCAAGGTATGGTAAAGCAGTGTAGAAAAGTTTTTGCCTTAATTTCAAACCACGGTTTGCTGTGGATGTACTTTTTTAGAACAGGTACTTATGCAAGCAAATTAGTGAGATAATATTTCATTTAAAGTAAAAGCGGGCTGTTTGCAAATTAGGTTTTTCTGCAAAGTTTATTTTAGAAATTGTGAGGCAGCGTGGTGGAATCAGGCTCTCGTCAAAATAATCAAAGTGAAGAAATTTGCATTTTTCCGCAGGTTTGTGAATTTTCATCAGATTTTTGTTTTGGGGCTCAACACCTTTCATGACCATTAAAGAACTCATTTCTGTGTGGACTTTTCTGAAAAAGTGAATTAATTGCCCAAAATATGTAAATGTTCAGTTACCACGGACTCTTAAGCTAAGGAAATAACTAATCTTTGGCGGCCATTTTCTCACTAATTTTATCTCTGAAAACAGGTGACCCCCCACCTCCTTCTTTTGCAAATATCTCGACTTGTATTCAGAATAAATGGATATCTTTTTCATCCAAATAAAGACAGGTGAACAAGCTTTAATATGATACCAATAACTCTACATGCCCAAAAATTGACGAGAGCCTGATTCCACCACGCTGCCTCACAATTACTGGTTATGATGAAAGTAGAACACTGAGAGAGTGGATGTGTTTGTTTGAGAGAGAGAGTGAGGAGTGCTAGATGATAACACTCATGGTTATTTCTCATTTTAAAATATGTTTCATTGATTGAATTTTGATCTAGTTGGGAACTTTCTGATGGTCCTAAAGGGGCTCATGGCATCACATCCAGGAGCCATCTGTGAGACTGTCTAGTCAAAATTATCAAAAGATCAAGTGGTAATGTTGAAAACTAGGTAATACCCTCTAAAAAGTTATTTTATATATATATATATATATATATATATATATATATATATATATATATATATATATATATATATATATATATATATAATATACTGTCGAACCTGTGTAAAATAGCCACCCATTGTCAAGGAGAAAAGTGGCCGTATAATACAGGTGACCGTCTCAGGTAGGACTGATCAAAATGAAGAAAGCAAACCTTTCTCTTTGCACGTCCGAACCGGAGCTGATCTCAGACAAATACAAAAAGGTTTTCTGTTCTATTGAAAAAAGGGACTGCAGGGGGTGTAAGAAGGGTTTTGTTATTGTTGTTGTTATTTTTGGTTAGCTTTTTTGGTTGCTGATTTTGTGTAAGGGTAAAATAACAAATGTAAGACGATGAAGACCAAGTGCCATAGTAAAACAAGCACTGGGTCGCCACCACTCGGAGAATGAGCCACGCTTCTGTCGCTAGTTAACGTCCATTGTTACTTTGTTACAAATTACATAAACAAAACAGTGACCAGTCACCTCACATACGATTTGTGTACTAGTTGTGGATGGGGTTTATCATTTATGAAGGATCATACACTTCCCTCACCTGCATTTGAAAATGTATTATTACCGATCTTAAATTTATGACAAAGCATCGGGCAATGCGAGACCACGCCTGGCTGTGTCAGACAGGTAAATTTGAACATATTGGTTGATATAATAAGGTGGCCGTGACCGAATTGGACAGGTGACCATTTTATAGAAAAAATACAGGAGGGGGAGGGATGGAAAGTGACCGTTTGTACAGGTGGTTGTATTATACAGGTGGTTGTCATAGCAGGTTCAACTGTATATTTTGTGTTTTTGTTCACAGGCCAACAATCAGCTGAGCATCCATGACTCAGTGTTGTTTGTGTCTACTCTCAGTGGTTCTTTCTACACAGTGAGTCGCAGCTCTGGAAAGGTGGTGTGGTCCCTCAAAGAAGGTAAGTTTGGGTTTAAATAGCTTTTTCTCTTGTAATTTTTCTTGAATTTTTATGTAGCTTTTTATCTTGTGGAAAAACTACTTGATAATAGTCAAATAGTGTTGATCCATTGGTGTTCAGTTTTTGAAATGGCTTGGTGTTATTTTCAGTTGAATTCTTATATAAAGGACTAGAAAGTGTGTGGGAAAAATAATGTCTATATAACAGCGAATAAGTTGTGCTTGTTTGTTTTTGCTTCTTTATTTATAGGGTTTACTACTGCTGTGGCAGGTAGAAATATTATACCAAATATATTTTTGCTGAAATTGAGATGTTTTTTCCCCGTAATATCATAATGGTCTAGAACTTTTCAAGTGCTATAGAGGAAAGTTATGATATGCATATGACTCTAAGCATACCTATGTGAATAATTATTGCAATCAGAAACTTGGCTATTGATTTTTGTGTTGTTTTGTCTCTTTTCATCAGATCCAGTGTTGCGTGTCCCTTTAGATTTTGCATCAGGGTGAGTACTTCTGTTAGAAAAAGACTGCATGCTATGCATATTTTCTCCCAATAATGAAGTCGAGCATTCATATTTTAGTCCTAAAATTGTCATTACCTTTAACACTTTGCCGTCATATTTTGGGGGAAATCCAAAGAAACTGAGTGGTAAACGTTGCCAATCGGCGAGATGAGGCGGCAAAGTGTTAAGCCTAACATCATCACAATGGTGTTTTGTGTGACCGGTAAAAGCAGGTATGGGATTTAAATTATGCTAAGTCATCTGTTTATCTACTTAATGTATGGTATGAAAATTTTAGAATTCAAGGTTTTTAATGCTTTGTCTTGTGGCTCACATGGCTTCAAACATCAGAGGGTGATGATCAACAACAGTCTGTAACATTAAAACATACAGAGACTTGTCATGAGTGGAGATAATTTATTGATGAAAATGTTGGTAACAGCTTGGCACAGAAATGATGAAAGTTAAAAGGTCCACACTTCTTTCTGTCTCCCGTTCTCTCAGCCCTCCCCTCTCTCTCTCTCTCTCTTTCTCTCTCTCTCTCTCTCTCTCTCTCTCTCTCTCTCTCTCTCTCTTTCTCTCTTTCTCTCTCTCTCTCTCTCTCTCTCTCTCTCTCTCTCTCTCTCTCTCTCATATGGTGCTTTCAGCAATGCAAGAAGCACAAAGTGTCAGTACTGAAACAACTAAAGTACCTTTCTCTGCACAACCAGAGTTCAGATTTGCAAACATATGGAGGAATTTAGAAATGCTATTTTTATTAGAGCTGTACTGCCGTAAGCTGACAAAATGCCTTTTTTAAAAGTTCACGACAGTTTCAAGATAAAGTGGCTTTTAGATAGTGAAACCATTTTATAAAGGCTTTCTTCCGAAATTTAAATTCTTATTTATTAAAAAACTAGTCTCAGCTTCACTTTGATTTTTTAATACCAGTAGGGTAACTAGTAACCAGGTTTTCTATTTAGCAAATTTAAAAAAATTGGCGCCAAATATAAAAAAAGGTTGTTTGTCAGCTTAAAGCAGTATATTCTTGGAAGTCTAAAAATTCTTGAGGTCCAGTTAGATTATGATACGTAGCTACGTTCTCCCAAATTAGCCAACTCAGCAGAAGTAACTATTTCCTGCTAAAAAATTGGAAGTGCACAAATTTATTCAACTCTGTCAGCTGTCAAGATGTTACTAACAACACCAATTTTATCAAATTAGATTACTGTACCGCTATTTTGATGTGATGGCTTAAAAACTTTCACAGTTAATGGTTTTCAAAATAAAACTGTGAAATTGACAGTTAAATGAAAGAAATCTGATTCTTTTCTCAAACAACTGCATTGGCTGACAGCAAATCGAAGATCAATACACAAATACTGTTTTCTATAATAAGTGTCTCAGTGATACTGCACCTATCTAAAACAATTTCTTGAGTCATATCATCTTCCCTAAGCTCTTAGATCAGCCACCAACAAATTGATCCTTAGAACCTCAAAACAAAAGTAAAGGACATGAGCGTTCCTTTTCCTACTTTGATCCTCATTACATAGAGACCAGCTGACACATCACTTATTCACAGATGCATTCCTGTCATAATGATACAAAAGCTCCAACGCATGGTCTCACACGAGGCCACCATACTTTTAACTCATGTTGAAGTATTTCAATGCCCAGACTCTTTTTATCAATTCCATGCATGCCTAGATGTTCAAACATCCAGACTCTATTCTCACATTGTGATCCATGACTATGCAGGCACATATTCCACATAAGCAAATAGCAGTGTTTATGCTCTCTCTTTCTCTCTCTCTCTCTTTCTATCTCTCTCCCTCTCTCTCTCTCTCTCTCTCTCTCTCTCTCTCTCTCTCTCTCTCTCTCTCTTGCTCCCCCTCCTTTGACACACACACTCACAATCACACGCACTATCTTTCACTCTCTTTGTCTCTTGTCCATACCTGTCTCTCTCTTTCTCTCCCTCTCCAGTCTGTCTGCCTCAGTTTCTCTCTCTCTCTCTCTCTCTCTCTCTCTCTCTCTCTCTCTCTCTCTCTCTCTCTCTCTCTCTCTCTCTGTCTCTCTCTCTCTCTCTCTCCCTGTCTTTCTGTCTCTTTCTCTCTCTCTCTCCCCTCCTCCCCCTATCTCTCTCTCCCTCCCCCTCTTTCTCTTTCTCTCTCTCTCTGTCTCCCTCCCCCCCCCTCCCTTTTGCTCCTTCCCAGTACAGCTTTTTTTTTTCATGAGGCGGGGTTTACATTTGTCATGACACAGCTAGTACTTTGAATGTCAGATAAAGTATTAGTGTGATAGCCTCCATAGTGTGGTTTGTTGGTACTTCACCATATTGCAGAAGATCAAAGGCTGGCTTCAGTGAGGAGGTCATTTTTCTTGTAATTCTTGAAATGTGTTTTTTCCAAACCCTTTTCCCATTTTTCCAGTAACTGTCATGGATTGAATCTAACAATTTGAAGGGGGAAAAATGAAAATTGCTTGTGCTCTGTCTTTTGTGCAGATTTAATGAAATCTCACTGTCTTTTACTTTTTTTTCTTCTGAGAAACCATATTCTTTCTGTTCCCCATTTTAGCAGTACAGCTTCAGATACATCAACAAATCACCACTTTTAACAAGCTCAGTCCTTTACAAAATTGCATAAGTCTATCAGCGTCTGGATTTCCACCTCTACAATCGCAGCCACCACAATCATCGCAACCACCGCCACCATCACAACCATCCCAATCAGCAGTATAATGAACATACCTGTCGTGTAGTGTACCAATAATATTATTGTATTGTTTGGTTCTTCCACAGACCCAGCTTTCTGCCTGACCCGAAAGACGGTAGTCTGTATGCTATAAGTTCGAACCATGAACCCATCAAGAAACTACCCTTCACCATTCCTGAACTGGTCACAGCAGCTCCGTGTAAGAGCTCAGAAGGGATTTTCTACACAGGTATGTTTTGTTGTTATAATCTCTTCCGGCTATCAAAACCAAACCACAACCTGATCCCTCTCGGTTGGTCTGGAATTTTACTTATGGCATGATATGTTTTATAATGCTTCTTTAAATATAATGGCTCAGTTGTTAAAGTAAAACGCCCCTATTTTCGTCTTCTTTGCCTTTCCTTGCTAGATCTCGACGTTGTTGACTACTGATTCTTCAGCCTGCAGTGTAACTGATTTTTTGATATTCGATGGTTTTTCCTACTTTGTAAGGCCCCTTGCCTTCACAACACCGCGCATTTTTAGGTTCAGCATCTATAGAAGTGAATGATGTTTGCAGAATGCATGAAAACCCAAATTCTAGACTGTGCCTTTGCGATTTGAGCCAGTGTCCTCCTCACTGCAGTCCAGCATAGTACTAGCTGCATTAGCTGCCCCCCCCCCCCCAATCCCCCCTTCATCCTCTCTTAGATGTTATATTCATTACACTGCGAATGAATTTGCTTGTTTGTATCAACATTTTCTTTATCTTGATGTCTTAGTGATAGAAAAGTGTTCTTCTATGGTACCTACGAAGTTCTCACAACTCTGCTGTCTTGGAATGGATTTTTTTTTTTTTTAGATTTGGTACTATGAGTACATAACTAGCCAGAAAATCTCACTTTTAATGTCTGAATTTCTAACGTGGCATTTTCATGTGCGCCAACATTGTTTTATTACAACCCTCGTACACGTACCCCATCTCACCCCCTGTCTCTCTCTCTCGTAACCCATCTCACCCCCTGTCTCTCTCTCTCTCGTACCCATCTCACCCCCTGTCTCTCTCTCTCTCTCGTACCCCATCTCACCCCCTATCTCTCTCTCTCTCGTACCCCATTTCACCCCTTGCCTCTCTCTCTCTCGTACCCCATCTCACCCCCTGCCTCTCTCTCTCGTACCCCATCTCACCCCTACCTCTTTCTCTCTCTCTCTCTCTCTCTCTCTCTCTCTCTCTCTCTCTCTCTCTCTCTCTGTCTCGCTCTCTCTCTCTCTTTCTCTTTCTCTCTCTCCCTTTCTTTTTTACTCTCTGTCTCTTTCACACAAAAATGCTCGATATATTGTCCACACACACAAACGCACACACACGCACACTCCACACCACACAAAACCACACTACACATACACAAATATACGCAGAGAGAGAGAGAGAGAGAGAGAGAGGGGGGTAGACTGAGATAAACTGAGAGAGAGAGAGAGAGAGAGACTAATCAACTGTTGATGTTATCGCGGTGTTGTTGTTGACTAGTTCAGCTTCATTTTGCGTCACGCCTTGGAGATTTGCGTGCTTGTGAAAGTCACATACTTCGATAATAATGTACAAATTATATCAATTACACATTCCTGAAACTCAACCTCTGTGTTGATATTCAGAGTTGAATCACAATATTGGTGTTCCTTGTTGTGACAGGCGAGGTAGATGGCCAGATTAGATATTGTGTGGTTGTTGTTGTTGTTGTTATTATTATTATTATCATTATCATTATTATTATTATTATTATTATTATCATTATTATGTTGGTGGTTGGTGGGTGCTCTAGTGAGGTTTGCTTCTTCTTTCCTATCAAACATCTATCGTATTTATATCTCCTCCTTTTTTGTGTTACTCTCTAGTAACACCTCTAATCTTCGGTACTTATATGTCCTTATTGTGTTGCAAGTGCTGTAAAACTCTTACTAAAGAAATATATATTATTATCATTATTTATGCTTTTATCAAGGAGACTTCACACATGTACTTCTTTGGTGACATAACAAGTGCAACGGCTTGCTTGTGTGTGTGTCTGTTTCTTTGCAAGTATTCGTGTTGTCGCTTGCGTATATTTTATTTCTGTCTTGCTTTGTGTGCACAGAGGCGCGCGTGGGCATGTGTGTGTTACATAACTGTTGATGTTTTACACCCCTGTAAACAAAATTTAGGACATTTAGGAGGATGGCTACTTCCACCCAGTCTGTCAGGGCCAACCGGTGCCAAGTGGGATACAATATCCCAGTAGTAGTAGTAGTAGTGGTAGTGGTAGTGGTAGTGGTAGTAGTAGTAGTAGTAGTAGTAGTAGTAGCAGCAGCAGCAGCAGCAACTCGGATAACAACAACAACAACAATAAAATAGAAACGACAACACCACACTCGGGAATCGAACTCATATCTTTTGCGTGCAACGGCGAAGAGTCTGTAACCACCACACCACAGACGGCGGTCGTGTGTGTGTGTGTGTGTGTGTGTGTGTGGGTGTGTGGGTGTGTGTGGGTGTGTGTGTGTGTGTGTGTGTGTGTGTGTGTGTGTGTGTGTGTGACTGTGTACGTTTGTGCGAATGATTGTTGCGGGGCGTCATGAGTATTAGGTGACCCATCCACGGGCGCGATAGGCCCTCGGCTCACTGCACGTGCGCCACACGATGGCTTCGCCTGTCGGACAGCGGGAGTTACATAGTGTAATGGACTTGCGGACAACCGGCTCATTGTGGTTTCCTGGCAACAGGTGGTCGGCTGTGCCTTTCATTATTATTATTATTATTATTAATATCATTATTATTATTATTATTATGAGTAAGGAAAGACCCTGCCTCTATATCTGTAAGTGGGTGGAGTTTGTTGTGGTGTCTCATGTCGCTCTTTTATTATCATCTTGTTGTCCAAGTATGCCTGTCACCTTCCCCCCTCCCCCCCCCCCCCCAAAAAAAAAATACATCGTATGTCTTTGTCTCTATTTCTCTCGCTCCCTCTGTCCCACTCTCTCTCTCTCTCTCTCTCTCTCTCTCTCTCTCTCTCTCTCTCTCTCTCTCTCTCTCTCTCTCTCTCTCTCTCTCTCTCTCTCTCTCTCTCTCACCCTCTCTCTCCTCATTTTCTCTTTCTCACCTGAAGCGGTTCATCACTCTTGTGACTGCAAGCTGGTTATCCGTTAGCCGAAAAACACTGCCGCCTACAGCGACCTTTCCTCGCTTAATACTCCGCCCTGCAACCACTAACCACAACAGTGTGTCCGAAGTGAAGGCCGTGAATGGGCCGGAATGCCCTACTGTTGAGGGCGACCACACTGCCCAGCGCCCGTAGACAAAGGGATACGCATTGGTCTACGAGTAGTTGGTCTAACGTTCTCTACATTATAACATTAAGACAATGAGTTAGCGAACTTTCACAAGTACAAAGGCCCGTGGGGTGGTGCACTGAATGGTTTTTTAAAACAACAACATCGGCGAAAGGAAAACTCTTATTATCCTGTACCAGTGAGTGGCTCACGGATATAATCTGTTTTATCAGCATCGCCTGTCTCAGGGAAATAGCTGATAACAACACTGCACTGCTTAACTCCGTGATTTTTTGTTTGCTTTTTTTTTTTTGGACCATATTTGTTTTTTCTTTCTTTTCACTAACACTAAGCGACTTATTAGGCTTTCCGCCAACGCTCACGAGGGGCCGTTAAGCGTATGTTATGTGATGCGGTCTCAATGCTGCTGATAGATTTATCTCGAAAAGCCCTTCAGTATCTTATTACTATCGCGTTGATGCTTTGGTCGACATCTCGAAACTTAATTTGTTTTAATTAAAGTAGATATGGATGAAGATCAATGGGTTTGCTTGTTGAGAGAAATTTACGCAAAGGATTGTAATTGTAGAATGTTTCTCGTTGGCGTGGACACCGATTTCCTTGACTGTGGTTTTAGTTGTGTGTAATCTTTTTTCTGAAGGGAAGAGGACGAGTGCGTGTACACTTGTATATGTGCGTGTTTAGGGAGAGGGTTATGAGAGAGAAGAAGAAGAAGAAGAAGAAGAAGAAGAAGAGAGAGAGAGAGAGAGAGAGAGAGAGAGAGAGAGAGAGAGAGAGAGAGAGTTGAACTTCATTTGTTGGGATACTCGCCCTTCTCAAACAACATATAAAACATAATGTCCCGATTGGTATTAAGTAAACATTTCAGAACAGTTTATGTTGTTTTTTCTTTTAGAATATCTTTTTTTTTCGCTTATCTGAACCTACTAATTTTTAAGAGGCACGAGTATTATATGCACATATATATACATATGCCAAAATTGAGGTGCACAGACACCAAAAACAGCTAATCTAATCTTGGGAGTAGATGTTAGTATCTGGGAAGAAATAGCTGAGGACAGGAAAACATGGAGGAAAATGATAAAGGAAAGAACTATAATGCTAGAGAGCAACCTTAGAAACAACCAGGCTGAGAAGTGCCAACGACGAAAGGAAAATCGTGGAAATACAGAGCTTCGATCTACGACACTGACATGCAAGCACTGTGACAGAATCTGCGCTTCAAACATACGAAGAATTAGCCATGCAAGAAGCTGCATGAAGACAACCTTGAGACCATCTTAAGCTAAATTGACCGTCTGCATAGACGAAAAGAGCCATATATAGTTGCCATACAGTGCGTAAGAAACGTATATAGTACGGAGGTTTTTTTTGTAGAATCGGGGAACGTATATATTTTATGTCGGAAAATATGGCAATGTATTCTCAGTTTTTCTGTTTTGCTCCTCACAGACTTGGCAATGCTAAAGGGGAAAAAAAGAAGAATTTTCAAGACTGGATTTGCTATCATTAATGTAAACGAACCCCATAAGTCAACTGGGAAGATAGCTTGCATTTGAGTTGGTTTAAGGGGTGGGGGAGGAGGGGGGTACTTGTAACTTGGCCAGGCCCATGGTGTGGATGGAATCTAATTTTTGTTGTTGTTGTTTTAGGTGTTTTTAAAAAAAAGTTTTTAAGTTGCAGATGTATGAAAAGCGTTTACATGTCGATTTAAAAAAAAATAATTTTTAACTTTAAATGAATGTATACTTGATACACTGATCCTCATAAACTGCAAACAATCATGATATGAAACTCATTCTCCACAGCAGCTGTTGGAAAAAACCCCACTTATTTCAGTGGATTTGTCATACGATCAGTCTGAATTTGATAAGGGCGTTTCTGAAAGATTTTCCGAAACCATTGTCGCTGACTCATAGACATTTTGGTATTCCAATCTTGTTTGAAACGAGTTACTAAACAATACTTCATCGTATTAAAGAAAGTGTGTGTGTGTGTGTGTGTGTGTATGTGTGTGTGTGTGTGTGTGTGTGTGAGAGAGAGAGAGAGAGAAAGAGAGAGAGAGAGCGCAGTTTTATTCCAGGCAGGGCATCTCGGGCGATGTTGAGTTTTTTTCCAATCCCTTCCAAATTGAGATTTTCCCCCCCAAATTTTAATTGATGAGCTTGTCCTTTTTTGTTTTGCTTTTTCATTTGTGTCTATTTTTCTTTTGTTTCTTTTTTAAAAACTATTATTCTGTTCACTTACGTTGTGTTTTTAAAAGTTGTGACCTTCATATCTGGGGGGATTTCTGTCACCACCACCCTCTCCCTCTCTCCCTCTTTCTCTCTCTCTCCCTCTCTCTCTCTCTCTCTCTCTCTCTCTCTCTCTCTCTCTCTCTCTCTCTCTCTCTCTCTCTCTCTCCCTCCCCCTCTCTCTCTCCTCTCTCTCTCCCAGTCTCTCTATGCTATTCTCTAGTAGCTTTGCCGCCTATAAGCGTGTTGCAAGTGCTGTAAAACTCTTACTAAAATTAAAACTAAATCTCTCTCTCTCTCTCTCTCTCTCTCTCTCTCTCTCTCTCTCGCTCTGTGTGTGTGTGTGTGTGTGTGTGTGTGTGTCTGTGTGTGTGTGCGTGTGTGCGCGCGCGCTTGTGCGGTAGAGACAGGTCATCGTTTACTGTTATCTCGTACAAATGTATCCATTATAATATATACAAGCGATAAAAAAAATGTACCCCTTTCTGAATGGGGAAACAAACAAGTCTTAAGAGTCTATTTACGTGAGTAATTTAAGTTATAAGGTACTCTAAAAAGTAGGCCATGTTATTAAAACAAAATTTTATTGCTTAAATTATTGTTCACAGCACTTACGACCCCCCCCCCCCAAAAAAAAAAAAAAACCAAAAAAAAAAAAACATTTTTCCCTGACAACATGTTGGATTTTTTTGTATTCTTTCTTTGGGTTTTTTAAAAAAAGAAGTTTACCCCTGTGTTAACCAAAAGCTGCAACAACACGAGATTTTGCCACTCAAAAGACTGGATTTTATCCCACTATCAAATAGTGGTACCTCTTTTTTTTTTTTAAATCGTCAGTAAATAACGCTCGCCATTCTTGTCATGTGCTGCCTTGTTATCTTATATTAATCTGACTCGGTTGTGCTCTGGTGTGGTTTGCTCCTTCTTTCCTATCAGACATGATCTGTTGTCCTTTTCTCCCCTCCTCCCATTTTGTGTTTGTTATTCTCTTGCATCACGTCTAATCTTCGGCACTTATATGACATTATTGTGTTGCAAGTGCCGTAAAACTCTTACCAAAACGAACTGACTCAGCTGTCTCGAGGTAACTCTGATATTTAAGCGCTGTAACCTCGGTGTCCTATTAATTGAAAACAAGTAAAGACACCTTAGCAGAGACTGAGCCCACCATTTCGGAACTTCATGGTGACCGTAAAGATGGTTCCAGTATGGAATTTCTATCTGCTATTACAGTTACAGTTAATTGTTATACTAAGTTTGCATGTAATACACTATTGGACACTATCATATGCACTTTTTTCTACTAATCAGATGACGCCAATCTCTTATAAATGGGCAAGGGGGAAAAAAAGAGAAAAAAACAAAAAACAAGTAAAGGGTTGGCGTTAAGTCAGCACCCCACAAACCGCCCATTGTTTGCCTGCCATGTGGCTAATCATAAGTGCATCGCGGTGTTCAAAATTACAGCGGCACAGTGTATCTCATTAGATTATAGATATACACTACCGCTGAGATTCCGAACCACACGATTTAGATAAGCTGTGAGGACAACAGTTGCAGAGGAAGAATGGGGGTGATTGATTACCTCTCCCCGTCTATCTGTTTTTGTTCACCACGCGACAGTAAGCTGGCCGTTGTCTCTGGTGAAATGGCGTGGCTTTTCTGAGTTTCTCGCCCTTGCTGACGAAAGACGTGTCCCCCCCCCCCCCCCCCCCCCACTGGGAAGATGATAATGTTTTATTGAGTGTTCAAGCGCTTTTTTAAAGCCCAGTTGTAAGAAATGGGAAGATATTTTGTTAAGTGCAACAATTGTTTAATTTTTTAAAAAATTAATTAATTAATTAATTAATTTATTTATTTATTTATTTATTTATTATTATTATTATTTTTTAATTTTTGTTTTTGTTTTTGGGGGGGTGAATTTCAAGCTTGGGGAATATAACATATTCTTCAATGTAGCTATTTTTGGCGGAATGTAAGTATGTCACGGAGACCAGACTGGCAGGGTCAAAACGGGCATGGTTCCCACTGAAGTTGAGTTGTGTTGACGGAAAGAGATAGACATTAATAATAATAATAATAATAATAATAATAATAATGATGATGATGGTGATGATATAATATATAGCATTTGTGTAGCGCATATCCCCGCTCTACAGCAGGCACTAGACATTTATAGTACATCCCCGACGGCCATAATAGAAGAATACCCGTTCCCGTGGAAAGCCACGTCACTGAGGGACACACCCCCCCCCCAATAAAAAAAAAACTATTTAAAAAATCACGATCTCGTTCCAGTAATAAAATCCCTTGAATAAAAGCATTCCTTTTGTTTGTCCCACAGTCCGAATTTATCTGTGTTGATAACTTAACTCAATTAATGGCACATTGACCTTTCAGGAGCTACGCAGCGGTGCTAGTCTTCTAATGTCTATCACTATCAGAGGGTTGAGGATTCTAATGTCTAAGGGCTGAGGGCTTCGGTGCCACGCCGTTAGAGTTCGAAACCTCGAACTGGTGATACATTTTTTAATGCCAAAGGAAGTATGCCATCTATGATTTTGTCATAGCTGAAGCTGCCCTCAACATTCAGGAGAGAGCTCCGATGTTGATTCACAACGCCGTGGTATTGGGGTAATCGGAGATTAGATACAACCTTGTTGTTTTGGTGTTTTACGGCGCTCGCAACTGCATACAGTCATATGAGCGCGCGAGACACATTAAACATTTTCATTTGGTAGGAAATTTTGAATTTTGCCTGGGTGGCAGCCGAAGCCTACTCTTATCGATTTTTGACCACCAAGGGATCTTTAACGTGCACAACTTGCACACGGGACCTCCGAGATTTTTCACCCCTGTCCGAGGAGACTAGGTGTAGATCTTTCTTTTTACCAGAAGATCAGGGGTGTGGCTGAAAGACAGCAGTAAGAGGGAGCCAGGGAGTAGCAGTAGAAAGGCTGCCGAAAGAGTCGGGAGTCCAGACGAGGGGGCAAAGGAGGTGAGGGGGTGGGGGCGGAAAATGGAGGCGAAAGAAGACGACATAACATTGCGAAGATATCCAGTCTGAGACTGTGTGACAAAGTCAAACCAAACTAAAGAGAAAATAAATAGATAAAAATAACCGCCAAACCCCAACAACACCACCTCCATTTATCGGCCCGTGTTATTTAGGGGACTAAAAAAAAAGGGGGTGGGGTGGGGTTTCTTGGAATCTAGTCTAATATGTGTTGTATGTCTGCCCATCTCTCTGTCTTCTGTCTTTATATCTGTCTCCTTCTCTTCTCATAGCTTCCTTCTATATCTTTTGTAATCCCCGCACCATTACGTTTCGCGACCTTGACATCGTATCAGTTAATCGTATATTACTTGCCGAGGATAGCTTTCCCCCAAGCCTACTCCACCTTCGAACGTGCACCTCCATGAGCTATGCTTTCCGGTCCACACTCCACACGAAAGAACGTTGTATAGGCCTACATCAAGGACCTTAACCTCCTTGGCCTACATGAGTGGCTTGCTCGTAATTCGTAAACAATCGCTTCATGCATGGAATACAAAACGGGAAAACGCATGTGGGATCAGTCATACAACTACTAACAGTTTACTACACATGCGAACACACAGACTTACACTCACAAACTGACACAAGGTCACCCCCCCCCCTTTTTTTTTTGCGCGTGTGACGCAGATCGGAAGTGTTGCGACGAAGAACTGTTTTCTGTCGTTTGGAAATGAGTAAAGACCGAAGTTACGTCTTTGATTTTGGAAACGATCAGTTAGGAGACCGAAAGAAAAGAGAACAAAGTAATGTTGAATAATACTAAGGTGTAAAAGGGGGAAAGGGGAGACAAAGGACATTTTTTAACTGTTCAGCTTAGGCAGAAACAACAATGAAACGGGGGGGGGGTAGCTATGTATCTGAACGATTGTTCAGCCCATCGGGGTAAATGCCCAGCTCTCTGATCAGCATTCTGTTTTTGCGTTTCAATCCTTATAATCTATATTATGTACTCATTTTGTAACATCAAGTTTTGGTATGGTAGTGAACAGCTTACAGCTCTCGAGACCACGCTGAGCAGCAGCAACAGTAGGAGTAGGAGTAGGATTATTATTAGTAGTAGTAGTAGTAGTAGTAGTAGTAGTAGTAGTAGTAGTAGTAGTAGTAGTAGCAGTGGTAGTAGTAGCAGTGGTAGTTTTAGTATTAGGATTAGTATTATTTACCTTTAAATCTTTGGGACGGGCTGTAAATCGATGGTAGATACACTTGTTTCCTGCGTGTTTAGGGATGGTATGTGTCAAATGAATCAGTAAGAACATTACAGCAGGAAGCTTATTATAACCCTTCACCACCACCAGCGGCCGTTCGTTTCTCGTCTGTCTTGTTTCGATGAAGGAAAGAATTTGCAAGCTAATCTGAAAGAGAATTTATAGACCGGGAGAATGAAGGCAACCGAGAGAGGAGGGCGTCCCGAGCGAGCCAGAGTATGTGCCGCTTCCAGTTTCAGTTGTGAAGATTTCAAAGAAACGTTTATCACTCCCCTGAACCTTAAAGTAGGATAAGAAGGATTAATGAGCAGCTTTGTGCCGTTTGACTTAAGGATATTAATTTTGTTTTAGGGCGTAAGATTAAGTTGTAAGAATTTCTTTCCCCTTATTTTTATACTGAAATTCGAATCGATTATTCATGTTGGTATGTTACGTACAACCAATTGTCATTACTATGTGTTATTTACTTTATATAATATGTTGTCTACTTGCTGACCCAAACGACTCTTCTTGACATGTATTATTGTAAGCGGGAATGCCTTTTGTGCGTATTCAAGTTTCACATGTCAGGGGGTTTTAAGAAACGTCGACGAGTCGCCTGAACTTTTATAATTGTTGATGTTGAAGGGTCAACGACCGCCTTTGTGCCGTTTGGCCCAGGGATATTAAGGGCGAAAGAAGTTGTTGGGAAATTTGTTTGTTATACTGAAAAATCGAATCGAGTGTGTACATGACTTACAACCAATTGTTATTACTTTCTATACGTTATAAGATAAGATAAGATAAGACAAGATACATCTTTATTGTCCAGATCCTGGCACATTGGTTTGGTGTTCCACCACGAGTACACACACACACACACACACGCGCGCACACACACACACACACACACACACACACAAACACACGTACACATGTGCACGCACATGCACACACAAGTAGGCTTACAATCACATACATAATATAAATGAGCAGCAATATAAACAATAATAATCGTAAGCTAGATACACACTCAATGTTATTTTGATGCATGCTCTAACTTGATGCCTCCAACGGCTCTTCCTCACATTTCGCTACCTTAGAATTACAAAGTTCGATCTGACATTTTTGTCCGTTTTAAGTTACTAAGACCGTGAAACCAAAAACCAAAGGTCCTATCTGTTTGAGTTACAAAGACCGTGAGATCAAAAACAAAATGTCCTATCTGTTTGAGTTACCAAGACCATGAGATCAAAAGCCAAATGTCCTATCTGCTCAATGAAAATCGTAAGATTATTCGGAGTCGTTATCAAGATACTCAAAGAATTGCATTCGAAAAAGCATGACATAATGTGAAACTCATAATCTTTGAAGTCAAAATTCTCAAACTAGGTACTGAGCAGATAGAGCTTTGTAATTCTGAGGGAGCGATTTTTCAAGAGGGAACGCCTTATGTGCTGGGAGAAGGAGGTGGGGGGGGGGGGGGGGGGGGGGGGGGGGCGCAGAGTATCCGCATTTTCCAGTTTCACTTGTCAGTTCTAAAACAAAAACGTTTACGATGCGCCTGAACTTGAATTACTATTGTTGATAAAGAAGGGTCAATAACCGCCAATGTTGATTTGGCCTAATAGTCCACTGACCAGACGAAATAACCCGTCACTAATTGCAATAAGGGTACTTTTGTCTGAGGCCGAACGAAGCTGTTAGGAATTTTTTCATATCTGTATTACATTGAAAATCGAATTGAGCATTCATTTTACTAACAAGCAATAATTGTTTTTTTCTTTGTGTTATTTACTTACTAACTTACTAACATGGTGACTGTCAGACCCTGGGGACTTGAGCAAGTTGCAAAATGACCCGAGAAAGACCCGGGAAAATAAGATCTCTTCCCCAAATTTTGAAAACCCACCCTGCTTGCAGTCCTGAGAGGAGCAGATATCTAAGTTTTGCGCAAACAAGCGGCCGTAAGCTGCTCGTGGTTTGCACCTTCTTTCCTCTCAAACGTATTATTACGGTGCGTATCTCTCCTTTATCTTCTGTGTATGTTACTCTCTATGTTAAAACCTCAACCTTCGGCACTTTTAGGAACTTTTTGTTTTTGCAAGTGTTGTAAGATTCTTACTAAGACTAAAACTTTAAAAAAAACTAACTAAATGAGCAACCATGGAGGAAGCTGAGGCTTTATAATATTATGATTATTATTCTTAAGCTCACTATCGCTCGAGCGAGGCTAGACAGTCTCATTGGGAAAATCAGAATCTACTTTCGGTTTGTGATGACCTGGTGGTAAAACATGGGACTTGTGCTTTACAAACACAGGAACGCCAAGTAAGTAACTAAAAATTCATTGTTTTGCGCGATTTAATTCAGTTTCACAATGAAAACAAGGTTCGTCCAAGTTCTAGTTAGATCGGACATCCAGTCTGAAGGTCAACCACATGTTCGCATCGGGTAATCATGACCTGTACCTGGTACGAGTGTGGGAGTGTGTCGGTAGCGGCTATTGGGGTCACACAATTCATTCACGCCTGTGTGAGATGTGGTTTAGTTCTTTGCGCCGAGACGTAGGCCTATTTTGCTTGTTGCAAGGCACAGGACTTTCGGTGGGGGGAAAAAAGCGGAAGAAGAATAGCAAAGTATTTGGATACACTTGAAATACTTGGCACGACACCAAAGGATAAGAGCTGGGGACCAAATTTTTTGAAATGTTGACTACAGCTCTGCTTTTTGTACTTAGGCCTATACGCCCTAGACGTTTGGATAAGTTGTTACTGTATAATTAATACGAAAAGACGCATATCAATCACAACTAGATATATTTTTCGGTTATTTTCAAGATCAATTGCAACTATAATCAGATTCAGTACATGAGCTTGTGGGTTTCAATTTCATATTACCTGGGGGCCGCCTGAGGTAGAGCCTGGGTGAGCCCAGACCGCATAAAAAATAAAGAAGATCTCTAGTATTTTATTTTTTAAAGCATGACTGATCTAATCTTCCCAAGCTTTATTGATACCCGTTCAGAACATGATAAGTTCGTCAGGGCTTAAGTATTTTTTTAGAAATAGTTCTTGCTCATAGCCTTTCCTCTTCCATAGGTCAGTCACGTTTGACGTGGGGGAAAAAAACCTGCCGGCCGCACTAACATCAAACTTTGAGGTCAAGTGTCGAGACCGCAAATAATCGGCCATCAGGCCTCACATTTGCTTGGGGGCTGCGAGTTTGAAACCCCTGGTCAATGATGTTCCTTCCTCTGTTTAGCCCTCTATGTCTTTGCTTTCCCTCTTTTACTTCTGTTTGTGCGTTTATCTCCCTTTCCCTGCACTTACTGACTTTTATCATGTTGATAGGTATAATAATATGCTTCCCGGGAAGCCGAGAATGCCTCTGAGTGTTCTAGGGTCTTCTGGGGTAATAATAGTAAATCATACATTGTTGTTGTTGTTGTTATTATTAGTGAAAAGGTTATTTTTCACTCAAAAGTCATTTTTACTCTTCAGGGTCCAAGCGAGATTTATGGATTGCCATTGACCCGACCACTGGCACAAAGGTGCAGACACTGTCCTCAGAAGGTGCTCAGAAAGTCTGCCCTTCGTCCACAGATAACCTCATGTACATAGGCCGGACAGGTAACAGCAACAGCAATATCAGACTGAGATTATTTCTAGTCTTCATTTCTGTGGACTCTGGAGACCAGTATCTAGTCGTAGTTAAAAATAAATATTTGTATAATGGCTGTGAACAAAAGAAAATTGTCTCTTTTTTTGGTTTAGTGCAAAGTAAAGAGAATCTATAACACCAATCGCTCTGGCTGTAAGGGAAGAGGAAGGCCATGCAAAAGGTTGAGGGAGGGAGTCGAGAAATGCTTAGAAATCATATTATCCCAATTGAAAGAGCTGCGGAGCTGGCCTACCATAGAAAACTGCATCTCCCCTTAATGCTTAATGGCAACAGAGGATGAAAAAGTAAGAGTAAAGTAAGCGAAGTGAAATAGCTGTATTTAGATGTGTCTTGGATGTATCAGATTCAGTATTTTAAAAATCATGTATAACAATCTGTTTACCCTCTCGACTTATGAGCTTTAAGAATTTGTCTTGATGTGTATTTGAAATCCTAGTGTAGTTTCTCGTTATGGATTGAGCAAGCAAACACAATGGGATTTCAGCCATTATATATTACTATGTTTAAACAACTGCCTTCTGTTTTCCCAGCTCTTTTTGCTCTTTCAGTCTTTTTCCTTTGTTACTCTTTTTAAAAATCCTTTCCATGCTTTCCAACATGGACTGCCCCATGATAATTTTCCCCCGCCCTATGTCCCCCCACATAATCTTCAATCCCACCTCTCATGTATGACTGACACAGAGGAACACATGTACACTCGTGTGTAAAAACACATGCATTAACAAATGCACATACAATTGTGCACACAAACACACACGCACACACAAGTGCTCACACACACAGATGCACGCATGCACACACTCACATGCACACACACACAGGCACACACATACACACACTCAGTTTTACTACACAAAAGGCGAGCAGACCAGTCTTTCTTTCAACAACAATGTCGGTTTGCATGAACTGGTGAATGATATTTCATCTGTCTTCCTACAATGTCCAGTATTTCAGAAAGTTTTCTAAAAGAGAAATGGATGCAAGTATTAGAAAGGGTTTTAAAAAAACCCAAAAAACCCAACTGTTTCAGTTTCTTAAGAATTTAGCCAGTGTGGGAAATTTTATAGTCAGGGAAAAAGAAATAAAATGTGTGTTCATTTCTATCTTAACGATTCGTTTTTCAAAGACTCGCGATACTATCATCAGTGTGATGAATGATCATTTACTGCAAAAGTTTCATGCCTTTGATGGAGTGTAACATATCATTCTTCATGAACATGTGTTCTCTTTCTTCTCAACCCCAACTACATCCGATTAGCTATTCATTCTCTCACTTCCCTATAATTTTTACTCACCTCAAGGTGAATTCCTCTATGTCTGTGGTATGTTGAGGTGCATAGGACATTGTCTCAAACCTATCCCAATCCCTCCTTAATTCTTCCTCAACCCTCCTCTCTTTGACTTCCCGCAGAATATACCATTATGATGTTCGATGGAAAAACGGGTGTAAAAAGGTAAGTTTTAAGATTTTAAATCAGTGTTTTTCTTTAGAATGCCTTCTTTGCTTTCAACAGACTTAAACGTTTACACAGTGGACCTGTTTATTTCCTTGTCAATTTGGCCAAGTCCCTTTTTAAAACATCCTAAGCTCCCCTGAACAGAAAAATTTTTACTGCTGGTCCATGTTTTTCCAGTCTGTTTATCTAGCTCTCTTAGCTGCAAATTCACCATGGCAATGCTGGGAAAACCCTTTGCATTAGCTTAGATACTCGGTCATGTACAAATGTTTAATGAGGTATGAACTTTGAAAGAATGTTTCTATGTTCTGAATAAGGGGAACAGGTTTATATCAGAGAAAAGAGTGTGTAGCAATAGAGGTCTGATACAAATAGAAAGATGGTAAAAGATTTATGTTGGGGAAAATGTCGAGTGGTGCTGATTCATGAACATGTAGATTTTGAGAATCTTATGTGAAACTTTTTGAAAAGTGAAGGGGTACAACTGAGAAAACTAAATTCAAGAGACTGACCTGAGTTATGCCCATGGTGTCATTCACAGATATCCCTGCTCTGTAAGTTTTCCTTCTGTAAGTGTTGGTTTGTCTCTGAACAACCTAATATGTGAGTCTTATCATCCAATTTTCTATCTCCACTTTCACAACAAACATTATAATCCACTCGGGACCCTGTCCATGTATGTCATTACTAAACGCTCTTTGTTCATGTATATCTATTCCCAGCTGGAATGCAACATACATGGATTACTCATCACATGTGGCACCAGATGTCAATGACTATGGTAGGCATAAATAGACAACCAGTGGGGATTGTTTTGCTCTGGTTAATCTCTACTGAACTCTAAACTTCTATTATTTTTTTCGTCAGGCAGCAGTTCTCTTAGTATCCTCAGGGCTTTAATGGGAACAAAAACTGATTTGAGAAGATAATGATAAGATTTTATTGTCGATGTGCAAATCAGTGATGACTCTATATTTTAATCTTCCTCTTCATTAAGGAATTTTCTGTGTTTGTTATAAATACTAATATAGTTTTCAATGGAGAGTTTATAAAGACAAAGTGTTACTTCAATTTTGATTGTTTTTCTGTTATTTTCCCATAAATGATGGCTGCGCCAATAGCTAAGTTGGTATCACACTGGGGTGTGGTGTAGATGACTTTTATTCGAGTCTCCAGCAGGCTGTTATTGATCTTGGCTTGTTTTGGGAGGCTCAAGACCCTCCCCCAACTTGGCTTGGTCCTATCGCACAGTGTGTATGAGGTACAAGGCCCTAGTGTACTAACCTAAATGATGTTGAAGAGACAGTTGTGCTTGGTCTTTGTTACGGTGGCACTTACTGTGTTGTTGTGATTTCTTTCTCTTGTATTTAATGTTCTAAATTAATTATTCATTCATATTCATTCAGCAATGAAAATACTATCCATTTCTGCTGAGCTGCAAGACCTCATAGATTTCCTGCTGGTGTTATGTTTAATGCAGTTTTATTGTCCCTGTTTGGCCTGTGGGCCATCGTTTGCCACTTTTTTGGGGGGGGCGTTTAATGTTCTTCACATTATAATAATTTTGGTGGCATGTTGAAATGGTTAAGAGGAATGGAGATAAGTGTTGTACATGTGTTTGTGTTTGAATGTGTGTTCATGTACATGCTTATGCATAATTGTGTGAGTGAGAGAAGGTGTTAATGAGGAAGAGAAAGACTGCATTTGTGTTTGTATTTGTGTGTGTGTACATATGTATGTGTATTACTGAGAGAGAGAGGCTCACAGAGAGAGAGAGGATATGTGTTTTCATGAATGTGTGTAAATAGGGATGTGGTAGAAAGCATAATGCAGGACAATTGTTAATGAAAAAGGACTTAACAAATATGAGAGTCAGTAAAATGTGAGTCTTCATGATGAAATATCAGACGCTTGCCAAAATAATGAAATCAAAGAAATTAACGTTTCTTTGGCTCCTGGGCAACTTTTTTTCTAATTGTTTTTTTTGGCTGAACACCTTTTATCTACATTTAAAAACAACTTCCTGTGTGGATTTTACGGGAAAGTGTTTATCAAAGACACAAAAAATGTAAATTTGCAGTTTCCATGTTCACTACACCTTTGGAAGTCCCCAAACTTTTACTTCCATTTTCTCACTAATTTTTACCATTTGATACCTTGTGACCCCCACCTCCTTCAATCACGAATATCACAACGTCTGTTCAAGATAGCTGAGTACATTTTTTGTTAATTGCGAGGACAATAAACAAATTTTAAGATGATATTAACGACTCCGTATGCCGGGAAATTCCACTGCGTCATGACATAAATGGTGAAAATATCTAGTGATTTTGTCAGATCATATTTTCTCAAGAAATATTTGTTTCTGTATGACGTCTATGTATGTGTGTGTGGATGGGGCACCTTCATCAGTCCTGTGTACTTTCTCTGTGTGAAATTCATCGATTGCATTTCAAAAGCTGTTTTTCATATTGTTTCTTCTTTTTTTCTATTTCATCAGAACTACGTCATTTTGTATCTAGCTCGACTGGAGTGGCTGTTACTCTAGATAGTATCACTGGTAAGTTGTGTCACGTGTGTCAAGAAACGGGGGTTTGGGAATATGGATATGCTCTTTGGGGCCTCATGCTCTGCCTTCACCAAGACCTGTTTTTTTTGTTCAGTTGAATTTTAAGTCGCACATGAAAATGCAGTTTTCATATCTAACAGGGAATAACAGAAAAAGTAAAAGATTTCCTGAATGAAGTGGCCCAATTATCATATCTCCAGGTGACGTGATGTGGCAGCGTGAGTTCGACTCCCCTGTGGTTGCTATGTACCGCATGCATCATGAGGGGCTCCAGCGTGTGCCATTTGCCAGCTTTGCCGCCGAGACACTGGACCACCTGACTGGCCAGATGGCCTCCACACACTGGCGAGACCGCTTCATGGACCTTCACCTCCGACAAACATTCTAGTAAGACTGTTCCCAAACATTTCATATCCTATATGGTTCGTTTTTTTAAAGTTTTGTATCTACTCTCAAGCAAGGCTAATACGATATCACTTTAATTAAAAATTTTGGAGGAGCACAACAAACTTATTGGTTTTTGAGGCCGAGGGCTCTTTTTGTATCAAGGGCATTGTGCTAAACATTCAACTCACTTTTGTTTACTACAGTGCAGCCTCTTTATAGCGACATCGTCAGGACCACACAAAAATGTCGTTATAGAGAGTCAGCTAAAAAAGGGGGGTAAAGTACACTATAAATGCAACTGTACGACGAGTGGACCAATGAATTTGATTAGTTCATTTATTCACAAAGAGTTTTTCAATCTACTCCAAGGTAGCCCATGCTTTCTCTCCTTTCTTTTTGAAGTTTTTTTATAAATAGAGACATCGTGATGATTTTTTTGTGATTAGCGATCAGAGGTACTGATAGTGGGTCGATAGCGCTGTCTCTTGTACCCAACAACATGCCCCGAAGGGAGTGAATATCATTTGTCGGCTAGTCATGCGTTTTCACTGGTTAGAAAGCAAGCGTTTTTATTGGTTTAGAGTACGGGATTTCATTGGTCGGAAAGCAAGTGTTTTCATTCGACCAGAAATTTCATCTTCACGGTCAATTTCAAGTTGCCGATTACCACTATATCAATATCGCTGTACATGGTTTTTACTAAAATGATGTCTTTATTGTGAGTTTTTTATTACTTATGATATATATGGAAGAAATTGGGACCTGGGCACCATGTTGCTATACAGAGAATGTCGTTATATCGAAGGTCGTTATGGAGAGGCTACGCTGTATCTCCACTACTTCACGTAAAATCAAGATGGAATATGAGTTGTTGATTTCATCTCACAACCAAGGTTAAAAAATGTCTAGATGGAGAGTGTTTATTGCAAATCTTCCTAATACGGTCATGGTTTTATGGGTATAGTTCATGAATTTTTTTCTTTATCAGATGAAGAATAAGCAAAATAAGTTTGGCACTGGTTGTTCACTTTACATGAATGCTGTAAGTTTGTCTCAATTCGACAGCAGTGCTGAAAAAGGAGATTCTTTAGTGCTATGAATGAGTAATCATCATAGAATGTCATGTTTTAAGGGGGATGTCCTTTCAAGAGTATAGCCTGCTGAGGAAGTTACTTTGTTGATGAACTGAAAAACTGTTTCCCAGTCTATCAGTAGAAAAGATGAATTTCTGTGTTGTTCTTTTTGAAAGCTTTTAGATGTGGAATCAAGAAAAATGTTGTTGTTTTTTTTTCTTTTGTCTTGAGCATGAGGAGTATATTATTTTTGTCTTGTATTTCTTTGTTATCATAGGTTACATGTCCTTTGATGTTATAATGCTGAATTTCTCTCATGCAAGCAATAATTGGTGCAAGTGTTGAATGTCATGAAAAGTACAGGAAAACACGATATTATGCTGCAGTATAACTGGATGCGAAACTCGTGTTTGAGTGCTGGTTCTGTAATGTATATTTGAAATCAACATGAATATTTTGAGAAAAAATTGTTTGTTTAAACATAAACCCAGGTATTTTTATACAGCTGTTTCCAATTCAAGATTTAAACATTTGTTTTTATATAGGTGTTTGTTTGGCACTCTTGTTTTGTCTGCTGTTATTACTGCTGTCAGTGTTGCTAATGCCCTACTTCGTTCCTGATTAAATGTTACCACAATTGTGCTGACTTACCGTATCCTAGCACCTTACACCTTTGCTTAATGTTTGTAATTTACTTTTAATGTTCTTTGTACCTGCAGCCCCAAACTGTACATCGGAGAGTCAAAGCATGGTGCTTACGCCCTTATCACGTTGGTAGATGAAAACACTGCCACGATCACGGTAAGCTGTGATGTAGGGAAACCTTGTTCCACGGTGTTACTGCCTTAAGTAGTGGATGTCTTCAATGAGATAGGAGTACTTTGTGATGAGAGAAAAAGGAGTTGGGTCTGTTGTTCTTTTGGGCTTCAGCGACGTTTACTGCGCAGGGTCCAGTGTTACCCCCCGGGGCAGTGCCAATGACTGAAGTGTCTTTAGGCCATTCCCAGAGGGGGGACATTTCTCGTTCAAACATAGTAGAATTGTAAATGGGCTGACTCATGTCACCCTCATAACTGTGCCTGATTTACAACAGGGAACTGCTGCTTTTTCTTTCCTGATCCTTACTATTGTCATTTTCCTCTACCTCTTTTGTATGTTTGTCACTCTCTTGTGACCTGCTATTTTGGGTTGCCTTGATAGTCGAAGCTGACCTTGTGCTGTTGAAGCTAGAGAGGTGAGCAGTCTAAGTCTGATTCCCTGTAAAGACTTTTCTATTGACACCCACCCCTTGGCGCTCATATGACCTTATGCAGTTGTGAGCGCCGTAAAACCCTCTACTAAAAAAAAAAGGGTCCAGTGATCAGCCAGTATAAGATATTTTGTAGTTTCTTGTTTATGACTAGGTTTGTATACAAAATCAATGACTCTGATAGCTTGTTCCAGTTTAACAAAAACAAGAAAGTTGAGCCGAACCCAATTTAAAAATCTTTCAAAAATATTTAAGACTTTTGTGTTGGAAGATGTTTGTGTGCTATAGTGACATTGTCCAAAACTTTACATCCATTTCTTCAAGATTCAGTTTTCACACTGCTGATCTCAAACTGGGTCTGTCAGGTTACAGGTTCCCCCATGTTGAGGAATTAGTGCTGAAGTCCTTCAGAGACTTTTTCAAGGTGTCTTTGTAGCGGTTTTTTTTTAAACCCAAAATCATTGCTTCTCTGAGGACAGTTCAGAATAGAATATTGCCTTCAGGATTCAGAAATCAGGTATTCTTACGACATGGCTAGCTCAGGAAATATGAGTCCTTTTGAGCTTAGAAAATAGATTCTCAGCATTAACTCTTTTGAGAACTTCTGTGTCTGCTATTTTGTCCTGCCATTTACTGCCAAAAATTTACCTGGGGCATTTCATGTGGAAATGATTTAGCTTCTTTGGTAGACTTTGAAACACTGCCCCGGTCTCAGCACCGCACAATAGGGTTGGGAGGACAACAGCATGATAGACTTTTAGCTTTGTCTCTGTGTGAATGCCACAGCAGTCCAAAACCTTGTTATCAGTCTTCCAAAAGATGCACTGGCTTTTTTCAAGAATGCTAGAAACCCATAAAGATGTATAGAAATGATGCATACACAGTCTTTCCTTGTGAACCACTGTTTCTTTTTTTCTCACCTGTTATCATGTGTTTCTTGTTCATTCTTTTTTTTGTTGAACCCTGCCTCCTCCCTTATGATGATGTATTTACTGAAGTTATGTTACTCCAATTTTGACCTTCCTAAATAGTGAAATTTGTGTTGTCTTTAGCTTACTGGAGGCTTATAGTGGCCCCAGGCTTTCAGGAAATGTGTCTATTGTATAGACCTTGTGCCTACTGGTTTCTCTGGTTTTGTTGTGTGGGTAAAAATATTTTGTGTCTTTGTCTGTCTTAAACAGTCTCAGGTTCAGGGTCCTTTGCAAATTGAGGGTCCAGATATGAATGAGGATGGGAGGAAGGAACCAGATGGGAAAGTGTATGAGACGACATCACACCGTGAGCTGATCAAAGCCACCACTATCCGTAGAGGAGGTGCTGTGCTCATGATTGGTAAGAACAGAGAAATAAAGTTGAGTGAGTCAGGGGCGTTTAAAAGATCTATTACGTTCTTCTGCCACATAGTGTAAAGCGCATTGAGCTTTCTGTGGAGCGGGAGTATGCGCTACACAAGTGCTATTTATTATTATTAGTCATGTTGTATATTTTTAAATTTTGATTTGTCTTGGATGTGAAATACAAGGTCAGTATATATTGTTTAGTTACTGTTCAAATATGTAGCTCCGTGATGTTGTATTTCAAATAGAAATACACATTAAGTCTATTGAAAGTCAAAGATACAGTGGTAAATATTAGAAATAAAGCTCTGACCCAAAGGTGTCCTTTTTTTAGTCCACAAAAGATGAAATGAGTGAGTGACTTGATATGCAGTTAACATTCCATATTAATAAATATCTTCTTCTATAAAGTCCAGCAATAAAGAGAGAGTGTTAGACTGTCGTAGATTAGTATAAGAATGACCTTTTATGGTTTGCATACAATACAGTAGAGTTGGATTTTAAGTTTAAGTGATTTTCCTCTGTTTACAAAAATTCTCTCTCGGTTTCCAGCCTTTTGCTGCTTACAAGTTTTCTTGCTACCACCATTGTTTTGGGAGTGGGTGAATCTGGCTCAGCCTTTATCCATGTCAGTAAATGCCTGTATTTGAGGCTGGATTAGATTTGCCAGCACCTAACAGCACAGAGTAAGTGTTCTCGGTGCAGACTTAGAAGTATGTAAGTTCTTCTTTTCTGTGATTCGATTAATTATAAGTAAAAGAAAAACTGAGACAAAAGTCTTTTCTCTCTGTTGAAACATTTTAATGACTTATATTAATATATTTTCCCAAATGTGTCGAATCAGTATGTACCCCAAATTTTATTTGTTATTACAGGTTTTCATGAAATGCCTGAGAAGTCTGCCTCACGCATTGCATCTGTGTATCAGATCTCGGATAAGAGTGAAGATCGTGTGATCAAGGATGGCGTTCATCCCTCTCAGCGGAACGACACAAAGCCTCAGACCTGGCAGACTGTCGTACTGACCTATGTCAAAGAGGATTTCCGATTTATTGTCAGCGTCCTCCTTGCCTCCGTCATCCTGTTCGCTGTGCTGTATATTTTCCCAAAGGTAAACATTTGAGAATGGATGAGGCTCATTATGGTTTGCTTTATCCTTATATGTTCTGACACATATTTTTTTTTCTCAAAGTTTAAAAAATCAGATGCTGTTGTTGTGTATTGTATTATTTTGTTTTTTCTGTTTATGCTTACTCAGAATTAAGTAAGAGTTAGGTTATTAATTTTAATATGATTTTAGACAAAATTTTGGGATGCTGTTCTGGGTGACATTAGGCTGCTGTTCTGGGTGACGAGCTCAGCTAAAAATCAGTGCTGACACTTGGAACGCCTACCCCCTGGCAAAGAAAAGGTTAAATCTTTTGAGTATCCTGACCTCAACCATATCAGTCTTTTTGTTTAGTAATTTTCATTCATTTAGATTGTCTTCAAGCAGCTTAAAAAGCCTTCATCTCCATGCCTTTTATGCTACGAACAAGACGAGTCAAAAAAAAAAAACTTGCTTTTTTTTCATTATATGTCAATGTGTGATATCTTAAATTCAAACATACTACAGTCTAGCACACATATAGCGGATAGATTTTCAGGTCCCAAATTTTTTCTTATGCATTTATAATCCTTGTATTTGAAACATGTACATATCAAAATGTGCACATTGAATGAGAAGATTTCCACATTCAGTTGATTTTGCTGTGTGCATGTTAAACTGCATATGGATTTATAATTCAGTGTTCTGTGTCCCCTTTTTGAGTTTTAATGTTGGTCTTGAAACATAAAAGTAACATTACGGGAAAAAATGTTCTGGTTTGCTGAAGAAATATGAAGGAGGCTGGATTTTTATCTAACCATGATTATTCATTGCTGCTAACAATTTCAGTCTTTCTGTTATTCCTATTGTATGAAGTCTGTGGCTTTGTTCCTCGCCAGCGGACTGAAAACTCGATGCGCATTTTGTTGGCACAACAGATGGAGGAACAGAGGCAGCAGCAGTCTACTCAAACGTCCACCTCATCGAGTGTCCCACCTGTTGACATCAAGCCCAGCAAAAGTATGTTGTTCTTTTTCACTTCTGTACAGTTATCATCTTCTTCTCAGGCGCATCACACTTGAAGAGTGGTATCTATTATATACTGGGCCATCCTGCTTAGCTCCTCTATTGGCCTGTACAGCTTCTCCTGCAGTGTTGACAGGCTTGGCTATGTTGTTATTGAAAAGTGTGAAAGTATAAGTATTTTAGTAGTATGCAAACATCAATTTATGTCAATGAGATAAACAACAATTTGAGTGGCTTTCTTGTTTCCTTTAATGCTGTTGAGAAGCAGATATATCCTCTGTCCTTGTCAGCATCTTGATAGCTGAATCATCTGTATTAAGATCATTTGAACAATAACATGTAAGTGTAAATATTTCATGTCATGTGGAAATGCTAGGAGATGGTCCTACTTCATTTCTGTCCTTGCTTCTTTGATGTCCCTTTGTTGTTTCTGTCTGTCTGTCCCTCTTTTCCCCCATGCTGAATGACCATTATTGTGTTGATGTACTTCTCGTTACTCAAACAAACGGAAATGCCAGTATGTATTTCTATTTTCCTGCCAGCTTTGCCAGATGGTCATGTTGAAATTGGCAAGATTATTTTCAACCCTCGTGCTGTTCTGGGCCATGGTTGTGAAGGGACTTTTGTCTACAGGTAATAAGTAGTGCACTCAGACATAGGGGCAAGTAAACAGCTATTCAGGGGAATTCAAGACTCACAATTTCTTGGAAAGCTATTCCCAAGTTCATTCAAAGTAGGGAGAGGACGATCAATATTTGTCAATAGATTGAAGAGGAATATGTGTGTAGAAGTTAATGGTATTGTAGGTTTTATAAGTTAGCTTTTGCTTTCTTTTAAGGTGTTAATGTTTCTGGCCAGGTAACATTTTTAACTGGATACAAATCACAATTCCTGTCTTCAGTGTTCAAGTACTCTGGGCACTTTCGGCTCAAATAGGGATGGATGCTCTGTGGACTTTACTAAAAATCAAGGTTTGATTTTATCAAAGAGAAAAAAATGTACTGGAGTTGTGTTTCTTTTAATTTTGAATTCAAGATTGTTTCCTAGGTGCCGCCTCGTATGTAAGCTGACTTTTTGAAGTAAAAATTTTTATGAATTATTAATTGTGTGATTTCTTCAGTGGCAAGTTTGACAATCGTGACGTGGCTGTGAAGCGACTGCTGCCAGAATGTTTCAGCTTTGCTGACCGGGAGGTGGAGCTGCTGAGAGAGTCTGATCTGCACCCCAATGTTATTCGTTACTTCTGTATGGTAAGTGGACGCTATGATAAAAAAAAAATTTTATATGGGTAATTTGGTTGGTTTTTGGTATGTTATGTAATTGAGTTTTTAATTTTTTTTGCCTAATTATTTTTACGGTATTTGAAGAGGTTAGGGTAGTTTTTTGTAGGGTAATATGTCTTGTATTGGCTGGGTTTTGTTTTCCATTTTGTGAACATTTTGCGTAAATATTTGTATAGAGGTTTATGAATAATAAAAGCACGAGTTATGATTAGAAGGGATTATAAGAGTATGAAACGAGGGAATTTTTCAGCAGACTCGGAAAAGAAAAGTGTTTTTTTCTTTATTTATGTTTTATGCAACTGAAGTAGATGAGAGTGCTTGTCCCCAGTTTTGTAGCTGAGTTCCAGTATTTGAGCTTAATCTCGGAGTATAAAACAGGTGGGATAGACAGTGGAGTCTGCTTACACCGAACAAGGGTTTTTCTGAAAACAGTGGTACACCGAAAGAAAATATGATCTTTAAATTTGTTTTCCACTATTTGAGTAACTTCTGTAAACTGGAAACCCAACTAAATCGAAGAAGATCCAGAGGACTTGCAGATTTTACTTTAGATAGGCCCCACTGTAGTCCTAACAAGGTGGAGATCATATTCTCAAAAAGAATACAAAGTGATATTAATAGGTTGTACCTCTTATTCACCCTTCTATCACTGTTTATCTCTGACTTAATTTTGTTGCAGGAGTCCGACAGTCAGTTCCGCTACATAGCGCTGGAGTTGTGTGCAGCCACTGTGCAGGACTACATAGAAGGCCGCTATACACCCCCACACCCTCTCCCAGCCCTTGACATCCTGCAGCAGGCTATGGCAGGCATCGGTCACCTTCACACTTTGGATATAGGTTTGTATGACTGAAGACAAAGTCAGGGGGTTGTAAGAGAGGCCACTGGTTGGTACTACTTTCTTTATCATCTTTCTGAGGATTTTGTCTTTGTGGCATACTTTTTTTCTAAAACCAAATAGCTGTTCTCATGTCTTTGTGCTTCTTTTCCACTGATACAAAAATAGGAAAGATGTTTTTATAACTGGTGAGTCTTAATAAATGACGATTGAAAGGAACAACTATTGGGGTCATTTTTTGTTGTTGAATTTAAAGATGTGGTGTAACTAGATAGGATTAATTTATTGTGGGGATTGAGCGAGGACAAACACCTAGTTCTTGGTGATTGGAGGGCTCCAGGGGTAGTTTCTATTTATTTTTTTGGTCCTTCTGTTGTGTCTGTCTGTCTGTCTGTCTGTCTGTCTATCTATCTGTCTGTCTGTCTGTCTGTCTGTCTGTCTGTCTGTCCTACTGTTTCCCCATACTAAGTGATTGTTATTGTCTAAATGAATGCTTTTCTGTACTCAATTACATTTAGTACTTGGTTATTTAAGTTTTCAGAAAGATGAGAAAACAAAATCATATGACTATATTGTGGAATTTTCTTTGAAAAGTGGATCGTATTTGATAAGATTGTTTTCCTTGTAAGGTCCTCAAGAAGCAAGTGAAACAAAGAAACTATCCCTAGTTAAAATAACTGTATACCATTGTGAAAAGGCTGAATGAAAGTCAGCTTGCAGGTACTTGGTACTGCAGTTGGTTAAACGGCTCAGCCATCTCATTTTTGCACTCTTTGTCCACTCGAGATAGCAATGAACAAACACGATTAAGAAGCTGCTCAAATTTTCTAGTACTGTTAACCTGTCTGAAATTTCAGTTTCCTCTTAAGTAATGGAATTTTGTTTGTCCATGACATTGTTCAAGACGTACAATGCATAATCTCCAATACTGTATGCTCTTAAACAGTTTCATATGCTATCTGGTGAAGGTCCATTTTAGTCCTTTGTGTTTGATATTCCAAAAGTTAAATATGTGTGCTCCTCACATGCATCGCCAAGTGTTTGAATCAAGCGTTTTCTACTTCTACTTCCAGTTCACCGAGATGTGAAACCACACAATGTCCTCATCTCCCTCCCTGGGCCAAAGAACGAAATTCGTGTCATGATCTCTGACTTTGGCCTGTGCAAGAAGCTGGCTGCAGGACGCTACTCCTTCTCCCGCCGCTCGGGGGCTGCTGGGACAGAGGGCTGGATCGCTCCCGAGATGCTGGATCCCGCACAGAGAACGGTGAGTGATGTTTTTAAATGATGAGGACAGTGAAAATTGAGTAGATCAAAATTTGTTTCTGTTTGTAAGAAAAGAAGGAAAAGAGTGTGGTCCCCTTCTCCAGAACAGCCTTGGAGGAGGGGGGGGGTGGGTGTTGAGACTGGTGCTGAGACCTAAAATGATAAACTCTGAGCTCTAGAGATAGCTCTGTGGAAGTTTCTCTCAGTGTCTTTGTTTTATGATTTAGTTTTAGATTATTAATCATACCTTGAAATTGTAAACGTTAAATCTATATTGGTTTCATATAGTGGAAAAGATTTAAGGAGTGCTTCTGAAAAACTAACCCCAAAAACATCCAAGTTGGTTCTGAAGTTAAAATATAACTTTTTGAAGAGACGAAGTAAAATTTAAGTAAATTTAGAGTAGGGGTCGGCAACCTCTGGTCTTTCAGCTGGTACTGGCCTAGTGAAGGTTTCCGTCTAGCCTCATGCCCCTGTACTCATTATAACATCCAGTCTAGTAGGTTTTGCATTTACAATCATACACATTGTTTCTCATTGTACTCCCTGGCTGATTTTGAGCAGAGACCAATGTAGGCATCAATGATGAAGTAGTGACACCTATTCAGGCTACATGTAATATGCATTTCCCCACATCTCTAATCTTTTGTTGAAAAAAAAAGCAAGAAAAGATGCATAATGTAGGTACAAGTTCTAAAATAACTAGAGGAAAACAGTTTTCCTTCTCTCCTGAAAAATTTGCTTTCTAGGCTTAGAGCATTTGAACAGCTTGCCAATGACATGGCCCTGACCCCATCAAAGATTCTGTACTCAGCCAGTATGTTTACCAGTTGTCTACTGTTGTAAGTTTTGAAGTGATTGTTTCATACTTATGAAGAGGTTAGTCAGACAGAAAGATTTATGGTTATGTTGGTTTGTTGAACTGTTGGGGGGGGGGGGGTGTTGCCTATTATTTAAACCTCAAGTCTCATTACATGTAATTTGTCTCTAGACGTGTGCTGTGGACATGTTCTCTTCTGGCTGTGTCTTTTACTACGTGCTGACCTCGGGCAAACATCCCTTTGGCGAGAGTTTGCGACGTCAGGCGAACATCTTGTCTGGAGACTGCAGTCTACACCACTTGCCTGGAGATGGTAATTGATGTCTACTGTACATCAGGCTTTTTTCGTGCACTCCTTTTATTTTTTGCGTTTGCCCATTTTGTTTTTTGCAAAGGTATGTTATCAGTTATACTCGTGGCATCAGTAGTCTTGTGGTTAGGCTACCAGACTTGTAATCTTGAAGTTGGGGGTCTGGGGGGTTCAAGGCTGAGGCCCGACGTTGTGCGCTTCACCCAGATGTGAAGGGGTACCCGGCCATAGACAGCAAAAGATTTTGTCAGTATGTTAGTGTTTGTGTGAATATAAAATGGCAGCTTGAGCTGTATACTTCCCAAGAAGTTGAGATTGTTTCAGGATGCTATCAGGTCTGCTGGGATAACAATATAGACTGTAAAGCGCTAGAGCTTGCCGTTGAGTTGGAATGTACGCTATACAAGTGCTATCTATTATTATTATTACTCCTAGATGTATACTAGTATGAGTATGCAGCCATCTCATTTCAAAATGCAGTCAATGCTGTGCAGTGCAGAAAGTAAGTTCAAACAAAACACCACCAACATGTATTTTGCACAAGGATCATATTTTGCACATTTTTAAAGTGCGTACAGATGTGACATTAACATTTCACAAATGACTTGAATTCGGGAATTTCTTTAAAATTGTTGAAAATTTCAAATTCATGAAGAGTGCAAAAAAAACCAACCCCTCGGTATACAGTATGCAATGGTGCACAGTTGTTGCAACTGGGTTTTCGCAAAATTAGTTGTCTCCTGTGTGCTATCTTCAACTGAGTGATAATATTTGTCTAGTTGTGGTATTGCTATTTTGTCAGTTTGTTCACCCTGAGTTGCTTTGGGAAAGAGGCTTTTTTTCTTCACTGAGTTGAGTTCGATTGGGTCAGGGGATCTCTGCGTACAGAATGTTAACACCTCTCCTGAATGTGAATGCTATTGTCACGCTGACATTTTATCTTGATGCAGTTTTGAGGATGGTAAATCTTCCCAACAAGAGCCTTTGCTTTCCCTTGCCAGATATTTAGGTGCAAACTGGAAGCACACTGGTGACCCATCAGTGTCCTGAAATGATGAATTAAATACAATGAAACCTGCTCAAATGGCCACCTGTCTAAGACAATCACTGTACAAACAACCACTTCCCATTTATCCTCCTTATGTTTCTTCCACATTATAATGACGCTGTCCAAAATGTCCACACAGACAACTACTTTTCTCCTGGGCAATAGGTGTCCATCATGGATAATTTCCACTGTTGCTGAAATGGTGAGGAAAATACCACTTTGGTCCCTCTTACGAAATTTGGGTTTCTGTGGCAAGTACAGTGCATTCATAGAAAAACAACGGCAACAGAGGAGCAATGAAAGTGTAGCCTTCTGCCTTATCTCCTATGAGTTTTTTTAACACATTGAAGCTTGAGAAGTAATGACTTTTTAAAAAATTGTTAAGTTGTCTTTATACTTGAAAATATATAGCTGGCATACTGTTATTATAGATTGGTGTTTGGCATGGTAAAATTTTCTTTGTCAAAACTTTTAAAATCTCATTTCAGAGAACTATGTCGCTCGACGTCTGGTGGAAAAAATGGTATCTCTAGACCCCGAGCAGCGGCCTCAGGCGGGAGTGGTGCTCAAACACCCACTGTTCTGGTCCAAGGAACGACAACTGGCTTTCTTCCAGGTATAGTGTAGTCAGTGCTTTTTGCGCTGTGTGACATTTTCTATACAGTCTAGTGCACTCATTGTGAAATTGGTAGGACACAAAAATTATTTCGCAGGTACAAATTTTGCTATGTACTGATTTTAAATACTAAGAAATACAAGGATAAGAAATAATTGGGGACCTGAAAATCTGCTGTCATGTGCGTGTTGGCTACGTGTGTGTGCTAGACTGTAGTTTCATTTCATTGAGTATGTGTCTCTAGCTTTTGCTTAAGTATTTGATTGCAAGGATTGTTAACATGCAGTAGTGTGATTATACAATGGTCTGGAGCACATGACAAGGATTTTATCAAAGTTGTGGGATAGAAATTGCACACTGAACAGATTTAGAGCTGAGGTAAATGAAACATAAGGTCAGTGAAGTACGCCATCCCATAAAAAGAATTTCTTTAAAAAATGGGCTTCTTCTAAATTATGCTACTCGCAAGAGGGAAACAAATTGATTATTTCATATACATAAATATTATTGGTCTGTGCTACATAATGCTGTGGGTTTTTTTAAAGCCAAGGTAAACTTCTTTAAATGTCAATCTGCACTAGATTGTGGTTATCCTCAGCTGTGGTTATCATTAATATGGTATATTGTCTTTTTGTTTCTTTATTTACCTTGCTTTTGAAAGTTTTCAATTGAATTGTTTTGTAATTCTGAGCTTGTTGTGCATTATTTTAAGATTTTATATTTTTTGCTCTAAAATGCTGCAAATCATCGGCGAGCCATTCAAATGTTCTAAGCCAAGAAAATAAAATTTTTCAGGACAGAGAAAAAAAACTTGTTTCCCTCTTTTAATGATTGTTCTTACTTTATATTTATTTTCTCACCTCTTTGGACGTTTAGAATTTGAATTTTTACAAAATATTTCTTGAATACATGCATCTGATACCACAGAATAAGAAGCCGCATTTATTTATTTTTTTCCCAAAATTTTGGGTTTAGTACTTTTTAACAGATGGCGGATGAATGCTTTTGACAAAATGAGTTACCTGTGTTTGATCATTGAAGAAATAGGTTCGCTTACTTATTAATTAGACAAGTCATCCAGGCTTTGTTGTTTGTGTCGTTGCTTTGTATTTCTGAATCAGTTGTTTCAGAGTATGATGTTAGCTCACATTAGAAGGTTATTCTTTTATTGTTAACACATAAAGGGCTGTATATTCTCATTCTACTAGCAAATCTTGGAATCGTTTGGGTTTGGGGGGGGGGGGGATAAATGATATTGATAATTATAATAGTTGCATTTATATATACAAGACATATATTTTACAGCATGCTGTAGGTGCTTTACAACTGTTGTTACCTTAGCAGACCCCTGAACACTCAGAAACGTTTTCGGGAAGCAGCCAGTTCCCTTTACCTGTTTATTCAGATGTTTTGTACACATAACTCCAGGATCTTTTGAAAGATTTTTTTTTCTTTTTTATCACAGGATGTTAGTGACAGGATTGAGAAAGAGGAGGACACTTGTGAAGTGGTGGAGAGGTTAGAACGCCAAGGCCTGGCTGTGGTGCGCTTTGACTGGAGGAAAAATATTTCCCCTGTCCTGCAAGAAGGTGAGCTTGCCAGCTGTGACGATGATTGAGTGTGATCTCTTTGGACTAGATGGGTCCTCATGACTGAACTGACACAGAAAAAAAGACTGGCTCATATAACACTTTTTGAAAACTGAATTTAGCAAGAATTCTCTTGGATTATAACAGTGAAAATGTTTCGCAATGACAAATTTGTTCACATTGTGTAAGACAGTCTTGAATAATCCAGAGTACATAGGCATACAACAATATGCATGCATATATATATATATATATATATATATATATATATATATATATATATATGCATATGCATGCATATATAATATATATATATATATATATATATATATATATATATATATATATATATATATATATATATATATATATATATATTTCTCTCTCTCTCTCTCTCTCTCTCTCTCTCTCTCTCTCTCTCTCTCTCTCTCTCTCTCTCTTTCTCTCTCTCTCCATTGCTGTTTTGCTACCAGACTACTTCTACTATGCAAAAATTAATTATCTTGACATTGTGTTCAATCACATTCATTCTTCTTCTTAAGTACTTCGGAGTTAAAGAAAAGATGCTAGGTGACACTCAAGTTGAAATGAGAATCATATTGGGGGGTTTTTCTGAGTCTCGCAAAAGAACCCTCTTAGACTTAACCTCTTTGAAATAGTCACTATGGACTTGACATGTCTTCATCTATTTAGCTTGAATTGGTCGCTTTTATGAACAAGCAGGCTAACCCAGATTTCGGGGGTTTCCAGAAATTTTTACCTACACCAAAAGTGGGCATTGCCCTACCTATAGAAGAGATTTGGTTTCATTGGTGTGTATATTTGTTTGGTTATAGAAAAACTCTCCTTGTTTTTTAAAGAACCTGAATAAGGGACAAAAACTTTACCTTCGATTTTCTCGAAACAGCTTTTATCGGGATAGCACCCTTGTGCTTAAAAGTGACCAATTATTCCTTACGTTTTTCTTTATGTACTCAGGGGTTAAAAGCAAAATGTAACCTATACAGACATTGAATGTGAATTTCAGAAGTAGTTCTTACCATTTGCGACCTTGATTTCAGATTTAAGGAAATTCCGCACGTACAAGGGGACATCCGTGAGAGATCTACTCAGAGCTATGAGAAATAAGGTGAGTTGTACACTCTATTCAAGGCAGATGAATATTATTTCCATCAAAACATAGACAAATAAACGAGCTTTATGATGATATCAATTTCTCTGAATGCCCAAAAATTGACGAGTGCCCGATTCCACCACATCACAACTCATTTTAAATAGGATAAAAATAAAGATGAATATTTTTGTTCTAAATCATAGAAGGGATCAGTTTTGCTCCTCAATTTCACTCTCATTCTTAATTTTGACCTTTGGATTGACTTTGTTCTGTGACAGAAACACCACTATCGCCAGCTGCCTGAGGCAGTCCAGCAGACTCTGGGTGCAGTGCCAGACGAGTTTGTGGACTACTTCACCTCCCGCTTCCCACAGCTACTTCTGCACACGTACAACGCCATGGAGTGCTGCAAATACGAACGCCTTATTGCCCCATATTACTACTCTGAAGCGTCTTCTGCCAAATGTAGCCCTTCACCTTCTCTTCCCACTGCGACCTCCGAGAAAAATAGTGCTCCTCAGGCTCGAACTCAGAAAGACTGTGGTGACAGTGATATGGGTGAAGGTGATCTCTCTCACAAGGTTGAGGCATCAGGTTTAATTGGTGATGGAGTTGGTGAATTTGGGAATGACTTTGCTGTTCAAGATCCGATGATGACTCAAAGAGGTGGCGATGAATTACTTGGCAATAGGACTGTTTTGGCATCTCAGCCTGGCCACGATATTGCTCAGGGTGTGGATGATGTAACAGCGATGGGTGACTACCATGAATTATTGCCTCATGACCACAGGGTTACTGGTGGTGCAAACCAACAAGTCGATTTTAAAGGTGCCAATGACTCTAAAACTCCTCTTACGTCTCCTTCCCAAGATAGAACTGGTCCTCAGCAACCTCTGTTTAAGCTCACTGGTGCATGGGGAGACACTGTGGGTGCTGGTCTGCAACCTTCCAGCAGTCTCCAGCCAACAACGCCGCGACTGCTTTTCAGAGAATCCTCAAACAGCCCCCCTGCCCCGAAACCAACTCCTAGAAATTATCATCATCATCAGCAGCAGCAGCATCGTCCTCATCATCATCACCATTCCCCTCCCCACGGTGGCCGCAGTGAGAGAGGAGACACCCCCCGCAATTGGCGGGATCCTCGGCCAGACTCGCCTCAGAGATTTCCACTGTTCAGGAGTAAAAACAATCGCAATCAGAGGGGTCGGAGAGTGCCCAAAAGTCAGAGTACAACATCTCAGGATGATCAAGGGCGCAACAGTGTGTCTGAAGCCAACTCATAGTGGCTCACCATGGGTTTTTTTAGGACTTTGTTCTCTGTGAATGAGTAGATGCCTCTTGTGAAAGTTGTGGAAGTGGTATGATCAGTCAAAATGAAAGTTGTTGCACAGTGAGACTACTAATATATATAATTTTTTAAAACCATTTTTACATGTTATGATCAGAGGCTGATTGAATTTTGCACTGTGTGAATAATTTCAAATGTAAAAATTAATTATATTTTGAATATATCAGTGTTGTTGGCCAGGTCAGGCCAATCTACGCTGGAAAGTTCTGTCTCTCAGTACAGATGAGGGCTTGTGACAGCAGTTGAAGATCTGTCGGCTCTGGTCATCCTGACCATCTTGCACTGCTCAGCTGCAGCAATTCTGTTGCCATATCAGATCTGCGCGCCTTTGGAGAAAACCGATCACCACCCTCTCTGTCTTAAGCAGTAGGCTCTCTTGTTGTGTGGCTGATGTTATAGGCCTTCAGGGAAGCAAAATTTCTCTCCTATTTGCTTGTTTTTAGATTCATGCTCTGCAACTGAGACTCCAGTTTGACTTGGTGCAATACAAACACACTCTTTCAGAAAAACGAAGATAAGTGCCTATTTTGGAATAGCATTTAGTACAATATGTATGATTTGTCTCTATTGTTCTTACTTGTGAATGCTTTTCTAATCTTTTCATTTATAAGGTCTTAAAAAATGCAAAGCATTGTTATCGTTGACCTTTTTTGCCTGTTGCCAGTCAGTTCCTCAGATTGGTATGGGTGGGCCATCGGTTCAGTTGGTTTCATGCTGAGACAACATGGTGTGGATGGCCATGGTTTGAATCCATAACTTGCCTTTATAAGGCTCTCTACCCCGTTTTGCTTGTTGCTATTGGAGATCATTGTTATTTTCTGAGTTCTTTCTTTTTAAATAACCCTACAGTGGGCAGGGTTCAGGTAGCTTGTGTGTACAAGATGACATCATAGAAATCAAAGTGTTCAACTTGTTTCACCTGCTGAATGAAGGATGGTGTGCAGCACCAAAATCTCAATTGAGACCAGAATGGTTTTACAGTGCCTTTTGATGTCCAGTTTCATGGCATGACTTTCAATATGATCAAGGAGGATCATGTGCCTACTCTATGGTTTCTCAGCTACAAGAAGGCATAAGTGTACTTCTCAGAAATTGTGTAGGCTATACAGTATAAAAGATGTCATGCTCTAGATTGTTTTTCACCATAAGTTTTTGTCTGTTCGTTAAAAACAAATGCTTGAAAGACTTAATTTGAAAATGTTGGGGGGATAGAACTCACTTGATCAAATTAGAAAAGAACCAGTTTAAGTGGTGAATTTTTAAATTCTATTTTTTATTTGTTTTCCCAATCAACATTTATTTCCTTAACAACCTTTTCTACAAAAGAAGACAATTTTTTGTTGACCATCACTCTTGTTTTCTTTGGTAAAAGAGCAGGCAGGGGACAGGTGTCGCTGCTTAAATTTTGCTTTCAAAGGGCCTGTTCAGCTCAGCAGAATGTAGGCCAGGGTTGTCAAATTTAATCATACACCGGGATGAAACTCAAATCACATTTGATGTTGCGCTGTATAAACACTGGTTGAGCAGTCGAAAACAAAACCTTTTTCATACAGTAATACAGATTCAAAAAGACAAAAAGTTGAAATAATTATTAAGTAAGGCTTGTCAGTTCTCGCTTTTATGGCTGATTTGTCAGTGCTGATATTTTGGCATCTCATCTTGGTAAAACAAGTTTGTGTTTTAACATCTGTGGCTCTTTCTTAAACTCGATCAGCAACTGAATTTCTGCTAAAGGCTTACATTTGCAAATGCAGTGGAAACCATATATAACATGCCTGGTAATAACAGGGAACCAGCAATAACAGGGATTTTTTAAATCCCCATTTTTTCTTGCTCTTTGCCTCTATTAAAAATTATCGGCAATAACAGGGCATTGTCTGAGCCCAATCGGTTATAGCAGGGACAAAGGCTCATTAACAATGTGTAAAAAGTAAAAGAGCGAGAGAAAGAGAGAGTTACGCAGTAATTGAGCAAGCCCACGCAAGCCACGCAAGCCACGCTACTGCTGCAAGCACACGAATTGGGTTAAGCGAGAGAGGGCTGTGGTGTGCTGCAGACTTTGGTCTTTTAGTCCTTAGCCTAGCTACATGCACGCCTAATGTGTCGTGCACAGGCCAATGGCCAAAAACCCCCTGTTCGTGAGTACTTGTGGCAAGGGAAACTACCTGTGAATAAATACAGCTGGATTAGTCCACAAATGCTTACTTCCTTTGCATTTCTGATTTAACAGGGATCGGCTATAACAGGACTTTTTCTCTGGTCCCACCATCCCTGTTATACCAGGTTTCCTCTGTATTTGCTTTTTATCTGGACACAAAACATCACATATTTTCATCATGCAGCTCTTAAGAAACTCTCCCTCAGTAAATACTAGAATTGACTAAGTAAACCTCTCTACCTCTAAAAAACTTGTTTTCACTGCGGCTTCACTTTGTGATTTTGCTTTTGCTGTGGTGTAAAAATTCTTCTTCAATTCTTCTTCCTCTTGCAACTTTTGGTCTCCATTCACGTTTTTCAGTAGATAGTCTCGCATTACTAAAGGGGGAAAGGGAGCATGTTTGTGAGGAGCAAATTCTAGACCTGCTATAAATTCCTGAGAGCCATACTTACTTTATATCGGCAGGCCATTAGTCAATATATTGGTCTAAAATTTTATTGCAGGCCAGACATAATTGTACTTGTTCACCGGGTCAGGTGTGACCCGCAGGCCTTGAGTTTGACACCTGTGTTAAAGGTTACATAGGTGCATTAGGTAAACCATAAAGCTTTTAAATGAAGAATAGTTCGTTCATGCTAGACTTTGTTGGTTCTGAAATGTTGCTATAAATGTCTGTCATTTGGTTGAAGAAGAACATCTTAGAGAAGTGTTTATTTTTGTATCCTGGGTTGTTGAAAAAGGATTTGAAGCTAACCGTCAACCTGTAAATGCATTTAATTTTTCTGAATTGTATGAACAAAGAGACAATCTCTCAGAAATAAGAAGCTGGTGCTATGTTGATGTGTAATGTGGAAGAAAAAGTATCATTTTAATGTGTGTTTTCTGTTTGTCGTTCTCTTTACACGATATGCACAGGATTGAACAAGACTAATTTTGTGAAGTACAGAAGCTCCTTTGTAACATGTTAAGAGAACGGGGGGGGGGGGGGCTTTTATACTCTTGCATTTTTTGGTATTACATCTGTCTTGTGACTTTCGTTTTGTGCAGTTAAAGGGCTTGTACTTGTTCCATCTACGTATAAATATCTGTCTTTCAGTCTTTATTGTTAAAGATGATGGATGGTTGACAGGTGCTCTGGTATGGTTAGCTCCTTCTTTCCTATCTAACATCTATCATCCTATCTCTCCTCCTTCTTTTCTTCAACACTTATATGACCTACGGTATTTGTCTTGCAAGTGCCACAAAACTTGTACAAAAGCAAAACTCAATATAGATGTGTGAGAGGGGAGAGCAAGTGGTAGACCCTGTTCCTTTACTTTCTCTTTGTTATATCTGTCTGTTTGTTGTGCTCTTTCTCAGATCTGAGTAATCATTTTGTGTTCACATTATGTTTCCCTCCACTCCAAACCAAAGCTGTAGGTGGCTGACGGTTCTTACTGCGTCCTTATATCCTCACCACTGTATCTGTTTGTATAGGGTTTTCCTGCCTCTAATGTCAGTTATTGTGTCAATCTGTTCTCTTCAACTCAAACTATAATGTGCCTGCCCTTAAATCTTTCATTTGTATGTGAATGGTGGGTTAGTTGTTGCTCTTGTATGGTCTGCTTTTTATATTTTTAGTTAGTTTCTATATTTTCCACACTATTCTTGGAAAATATATATGTATCTGTTGCAGGGCTAAATAGGAGTTGATAACAACCCAGACACTTTCTTTCTGTGCATTTTCCTGTTTCTGCTATCGTTTGTCTCTTTCTTTCACTCACTTTTTCTTTTTCCCCTTCTTTATCTTTCAGCTTATTTGTGATTATTTATTTTAATTTCCAGACTTACCCTACTCTCCAGTCCCTTAGCAACTCATAGCAAAATATTAGTGTAAATGTCTTTGAAGCGGTCATCCCGTTTTTCACTCATTGACACACTACAGCAGTGCCACCAGCTCCGCTCCTGACATTTTTCATGTACTTTTCCCCCACGTTTTATAGGTGAGCCTGCTACAAGACCTAATTTTTTTATTCCAAGACTTTGTATACTATTTTGTGTCAGTTGCAATGCAGGGGAGGCTTAAATATTTTAATTCCGTACAAAGTCAGCATGTTTTCCCGCTGACCGTTTCTATTGACTCTCATTTATCTCCTGACTTTTACTGATAGAAGATGTCTTCTTGAAATCTCGAAGTCTGTTGGATAGCCACACACAACTTGATACCCTTTCTATAAATGCCCCTTATAGACAGCATTTTGTTTGACCCCATGGCAAAATGTGTCAAAAGAAGCTGTTGAGTTTCCTAATTTTGTTTTTTATGGAACTAAGTTATTGTCTAGTTGTAATGCCCCAGAGAATGTTTACACATTTGTATTTTGCATTTCTTCATGTTTGTGATCTGACAGATCTGCTACCCCCCAGGGCAGTGCCACTAACTGAAGTATCTTTAGGTCATTCCCAAAGGGGGGACATTTCTCGTTCATGCACAGTAGAATTGTAAATGGGCTGATTCATCAATGTCATGCTCATAACTGTGCCTGAACTACAACAGGGAGCTGCTGCTTTTTCTTTTCTAATCTTTACTATTCTGCCGTCTTAGGAAAAAAGGATGAATATCGGAAATTGGGTCATATAAAAATATCGATACCATGTGAAAGAGCATGAAACGCTGCATCTTTTGAACCAGTGGCCATTACATTTAAAGATGTTCGAATACTTTATTTTGGTATTTGAAGTATCGTCATAATTTTTATCTTTTTAATATATTTATATTTTATGAAAGAAAGACGAATCTCCGGACCTACTGTGAAAAAAGGATGAATATCGAGAGGTTGATCCTCAGCTGTATATTAGCAAGTGAAAAGGAAAAACCGTTTACGAAAAAGCAACGAATATACCGTCATTCGTCCTTCTTCGCCAAAACATGCCTACGTTACATTGCCACAGGTCTTTTGATGAAATACCGAAAGGCTCAAATCTCACCAGAATTTGAACCCGAGACCTTTGGCTCCATTGGCAAAGCACAATTAAATAACAGTCTGGAAGTCACAAAATACTTACAACAAACCAGACAAACCTCAAATATCACAGAAACGAAAAATCCAGGACATTATTTGACAGCATCGGTTGAAAGAAAGACGAATATCGCAATTCGTCCTTTTCCTATAAAAAAAACTAATTAAAACTTCATCAATCTGTTATGAAAGAATGACTTTTGTCTTCTCACACAAAATTTTGTTAATATTTCCAAACAAAATTTTAACTACAAGTGCATAGTTGCACCATCCTTCCTCCTTCCAAAAATCAAGTTAAAAATAAAATTTAAAAACCAGCTTTTTAAACGTGAGATGAATAAATTTGATTTTTTGGCTCTCCTGGAAAATGGGTATGTCGTGTTATTCGTCCTTTTTTTCCAAGACGGCAGTATTGTCCTTTTTCCTCTACTTCTTTTGTATGTTTGTCATACTCTTGTGACCCACTATTTCCGGGGTGCCTTGATAGTCGAAGCAGAATTTGTGCTGTTGAAGCTAGAGAGGTGAGCAGACTAAGTCTGATTCCCTGTAAGGACTTATCTGTTGACATCCACTGCTTTGCGCTCATATGACCTTATGCACTTGCGAGCGCTGTAAAACCTCTGCTAAAACCAAAAAAAAGTAAACAGATCTGCAGTATCTCTGTCAGGCCATGATCATAAAGAAAACTTAGCTCAGAGTAAGATAACCACTCTTGTTCTTCTGTCATTGTCATATCCCACGCGTTGAAAACTGTCCAAAGCTCTTTTTTCAACTTAAAATGTGTATCCTTGACCTTTTGATTCAT